ATATAAGATAAAGTACAGTCAGAAATGATAATATAAGTGTTATCAATAGAAAATACAATATCTTGGAAATAAGATGTAAAATAAATAAGTAGCTTGTTAGAATGCTTTAAGGTGTGAATCGAAATACATTTTAGTATTATTTATTATCCTCTGATTTGACTGGTAGAAATAATACCTTCCATATCTCCGGTATTTGTGTTGAGTCACTTCTATTGCGCGTATGTTGGGTGTGTAGACTCAATGAACCAGGATTCAGTAATCAACCACCTCTCTTTCCACTTACCTACCTATATTACTTTTTTAGAATTTTGACTGTGTCTCGACCACCCTATTGTGTAATTGTGTCTTAATGCATGCATTACAATTGCTGAGTGTTTTTCTAAATAACTTATCTACGTTGGGTCAATCATTCTAAACTTAGCTAATTTCTTATGTTCTGATAATCGCACTGCTCTTGATCTACTAGTTTAACTGGCCTAAGTAGTTGAGCTTACACACAGTCATTGTAAATTATATTATTTTGTCTAATTGGGTCAACCTAGAAGGTCCTTTAACCTACAGAGCTTGTCCTGTCTGAGTGAGTTTGTAGGTTTGAATGCCACTCAAATTCCTGTTTTATTAAGAATCCCACGTAAGAAGGGTGTCAGATATCCCTTTCTTATATAGTATAACAGTGGATGACTTATATTCTCTCTTATTTATGCTATCATTACTAGTTTCACAATTATTATTTTTATTTTGCTTTTGACCTTTACTGATCTTACTAATGAATTTTATAGGATAGTTATTTGATACCAACACTTCTTCTATCTGTTTTATTTCTTCATATAGGTCTTTTCTTGTGCTACTTAGTGCTACTGCTCGGTTTGTTAGACACGCTTAACTAAGCCAGCCTTTACGGACAGACAACGGATGAGATGAATTAAAGTCTAAATATCTATTAGCAGAATGCTTGGATTTTTATATACACTAGTGTTCGTTTTGTTTTAGAATCTAACATAGCTAATTCCCCTTGTTCATTTTCCGATTCGAATGTGAATTTTATTCCCTCCAGTAGTGAGTTTTTATGTGTCAAGAAGCCAGAGATATGTTTTGTTTTTAACATTGTGAAAGTGTGGTATTCATATTGTGCTATTTTTGGACACTTTAAGTTATTTCATTTGTTAGATTTCCTCACAAACCAGTATCAGTTAGGGAGAGAATCCTTTGAAAAGCAGACGGAACTGGGATAGTTGTTTCGTCCTGGATCAGGACTCTTCTGCACCTATGATTCCAATTAGCCGCGGTGGTCGAAACTGTGACTTTCAGCTCATAAAGTAGACGAGCTCTTTGATCATTCAGTTCAACTTATATATAGTTATATAATATCGCGAGATTCTCAGTCATTTCATCCCATCTTCTTTTTCTGTTTTTCCACGTATTTTTTCTCCCTTATTTCTCCAGCTACAGAAAATTCTTTCATCCTAAGTCTATTGCATTATAAACTATACATATATTATTGATATGACGCTTACCACTACAGCTCACTCACCCTTACCTATCTTATTAATTACTTTTATGGTTTACTCATGGCTAATTGCTATTTGCACAAATTTATACACATATATATATCACTTAATTAGTTAATTAATTAATTACTTAATTAATTCATCCATTCATTCTTCTGTAGAGAGTAGTATAATGATTATGACTAATAATTTTGCGCTGACCGTGCATATTTATCGCATTTTTCTCATTCCTCCGCGTTTTATTTATTTATTTATTTTTTATTTTACTTTAGTTTTTTTTTAATGTACATACAGCACCACAGTGATTTTCGAATTTTTTACAACCTTTTTTGTATACTACTGAATTATATGGTAATAAGTAGTGTAGTTTTGTATAACTCATTTTTTCGGGTCTATTTTTCGTCTCTAGTTTTCTTTTTGTAATAATAAATATTATGTACATAGTAGCTTGTTATTGGTATTGGCATTTTTTCTTTTATTTCATATAAAACTACTAGTTTCACTACTACCACACAAATATTTATAGACAAGGAGGTTAATTAACCAATTATTTTTAGTAATATAATGCGTATATACAGAACTATGTGCTGTTGTACATATGCGTTTGAAAGTAATCGGGTTCTATGATCTCATTTGTACACTTTCGTTTTTGCGCAACTATTTTTCGTTTTGTTTTTTTACTTCATTTGTATTTTTTATTTGAAATACTCCCTTCCAGGTATCAAGAGAAAAAGCGCGGTAAACTAGCGCTTATAAATTGTCTTTCGTGTTGTTCACCACCGTGCTTTAATAAATAACTTAACAATGTTTTTAATTAGTGTGTGTGTGTGTGTGCGTCTGTGTGATTGTGTAAATGTGTAGTCTTTTGTGTTCTGTGATATTTTCCCCCGTCTCTCTCTCTCTCCCTCTGTGTCACCGTCTGTTTTCATTTCTGTGCTCTTTTCTCATCGGAACTTACTTATTCACTTTTCTCGTCAATGTGTGTGTGTGCATGTGCGTGGGTGGATTTCTTATAATCTTCTCATTGTTCGGTATTTGTTTCTAAAAAGAATTTTGAAAACCTGAAAAATCTCTTTATGTGGTTATCGACTATCACCCCACAAACAACAACAACAATAATAATATCAACAACTGAAAAAAATTTGCGCGAAAACACATAATTCTCTAATCATTCATTGTGTTGTGTGTATAAATTTTAGATTTTGACATTTTGTTTACATTTTCTAAATAAATAAATCATCTAAATGGAAGAGAAAACACCATACATTTGATAAATGAGTTTGGGTTTTTATTGATTTATTGTTGAAAAGGTGTGTATGTGTGTGTGTGGCTGTGAGGGTCAAGAGTTGCGGGGGGTTCTTGTGTATATAGGCATTGAGCTTTCTTTTCTTGTCGTCTCTCCCTCTGCACTACTTTAATTCATAAATGATTTGGTGGTATCGAATCGATGGGATGAGTAGACTCTTGTCTTCTGCTTTCGAAATGCACTGTCTATCTCATATGGCCACGTATACCTTCATAGTCTCTACTAGGTGAATCCTATTCATCACTGTCTTCATGGAGTGCGGTGGGGGCGGGCTGATTTTTATCACACTAGGGTGAAACAGAGAATGCGGACGTCTAGGGCAGGTAAACTCTAGAATCCGACAGGATCGAATGGTATATAAAGTTGTTTGGAATCACTGGCGATGATGCGAATGTGGCTCTTGATATGGCTTCACTGATTTGTAGACGAGACTTCAAGTCATAAGCTCTGGCGGGAGATTATTGGCTCCTTCAGATAACTGCCTGCTTCACACTCTGAGAGTCTGGGCAGTAAGTACCCCAGTGGCGGCGCATTTTTGAATTCCTAATATGTACTAAGTTTGTGTTTTTTCTATAGTCTCAGGGATGATCCACATTTAGTGCGCCTGTTTTGACCTCTTTCCCTTTACAATTCAAGTAAAAGATTATATTTTGTCGACCATTTTTTTATTTGGCAATTTAATGAAGTGTTCTGTGGCGTTCTTAAGAAAATAATTTGTAGGTATCATCCCATTTTGTATGTGTGTATAAATGTGTTTGATTCTAATCATGTGAATAATGTCGATAGTCAAAAAATTCGTGTGTCAGGAGCTTAAACCGCCTCCTGATCCTACACCAAGATTTGAGTAGTTAGATAATATCACCAGCAAATTCACACAATTGGTGTTTTGCTTATTGCCAGTGGTGATTTACGGTTGATCTGAGGAGGAGAGGGAGGAGGATCAATCTCAGAGGACATCTCTCATTACTTGCAAACATTTTCTGAAGGTCTTTCTATTTGGTTTGGATCAGGTTCCTTTTTACTTCTTTTAAGCGGTCAGTAGTTTTCAGGTATGTTCTTCTTTGTTTTTACACCAACACTATTCACTTTCCGTGTGTTGTTGTTAGTCACACTAATAAATGTCTATAACTTAATAACTCAGAGGGAGAACAACCACCAGCCAGGTGCGTGATCTGTGTTCGTTTCCCTGCCAAAGTCAGTGATAGGTCTTGAAAAGACGGAAGGTTTGACATACGGTGTGCCACTCCACCGCCTTATATAAAGTCACCACTGCGACAACCGAAACTTCAAAGCTTGAAGCCGGCACTAGAAACTTAAAGAAATGAAAGAAAACCTGGGATCACTGAACAGCTGGTCTCGTTAGCCTAGTTTGGGACTCTTCATAAGCACGCACCCACACCACGCAGTTCAAATCCTGGACCTTCTGGTGCGTACTGATGAAGAGTCCTAAACTAGGAGGAAACAGCTGTCCAGTAATCCCAGCTGGTTAACCAATGGTTCTCTCACTGATGCCAGCTCATGATGAAATCCTCCAACCGATCGAACAAAATGGTTATAGAAAAAAGGTGGTTAGAATTTTGTGCACTAGAGGGTTTGTTTTCCTTTGTTGAAGGTTGATGAATACCACTTCGTTTTGGTGTGTGTGTAAGTATTGTACACCCACAACAATTAGATCTCGCTATCGTATCATATCTTAAGACGGTTTAATTGTATCGATTTATTCATCATAATATGTATAGATGTAATTTTGTAAGCTAACGTGTAATATACTGTCTCGACTCGGTGGTAACCGTTGATGTTTATTGACTAAACTAACAACCTTCTTTTACCTTTTCAGTTTTTCTCTACTTAACTAATTGTTTTAATCTTTCTGTCGAACTCACAATAAACTGTCATATTGATCTCCGTCTCACATTATTATTATTTCATTAAAACACATAAGTAACCAGCTCGAACTAGACAGACAGTTGTACCATATTATTGCCATTTCTATGTCTACTAAAGTTGTCTACTTGGTGCTTGGTGCTTTTGTTTACTCTTGTAATTTTCCTAGCGCAAATATTTTAACCTATTTTATTTTACTACTTATTTGAAGTTAATAAGTAGTGTAACCGTTAATATTTATCTTCTCTAACCTTTTTATGGTGTCTATCATAACTACACTGACTTATTTTTCGCTTCTAAAGTTTCTCTGCATTTACTTCTGGTCAACGTTCTGAAGTTGTAAGTGGATCTATGCAAAGTACTGAAGGTGGATCATCAATTCTAGGGTAAGTTCATTTTCCGTTTTTATTTCATACCATTTTAACCATAATATATATTTGAATAAGAAGCATTAAGAAGACGAATTTCGCCGCGAGATAATATCGTCATTTCGTAATTTCTTTACTGCCGCTTTACAACTAACATGGTTAACAATATTACTGTGACTAGGAGAGATGGTGGAAGGATTCAACGATCTATTTTTCGTAAATAGACATGCAATGGACCAGTTTTGTTCCTATCCAGTATAAAAGTTCCCTAGTGAAATGTTTGTTCTCAAAGGTCCGAAAAATATGCACGAGTGACACGCTTCATCTCTTTTCTTCCCATGCCGAAAATTTTCGATCACTGTACCTACGATTAAAGGACGAAATTCTATGGACTCTACTTCAAACTGTATTTACAAGTTCAACCGCAGTTGTTGCGGTGACACCTACATAGGTAGAACCAATTAGAATGTTCCAATGTCGTCGAAAATAACATGTTCCAAAATGGTAATTAAAAAGTATAGAAATTCCCAATGCAATTATTAATCTGAATAGAAATCCAGCATCATCCATTGCAAAGCACTTATTAATGTCTGGTCACAAAATCAATATTAATAACTCTTTCGCAATTATTTCATCACATAACTCTAATTCAAGGTTATTGAAGGTGATGGAAGCACTTTGAGGGATTAATCACATACAGCCTAAACTGTGTATACAAAAATCAATAGACTTCAATCTTCGCCTACCATGAACTGACTACTTGACCTATCTAAATATGATTGGTCATTAGCATGTACTTTTATTCTTTATATAACTGAGTAATTGTCATGATCTTTATTTTATTATTGTTAACCCTGTTAGTTGTAAAGCGGTTGTAAAGAAACTACGAAATGATATCATCTCGCGAAATTTGTCTTTTTAATGGCTTATTAAAATTTATCAAAGAGACTAATTGCCATAATATATATATGTTGAGTTTTAAGTTGAAATTCGTGGGGTACTAGACGACTGTTTCGTCTTTCATTGATACTCTTCAATAGTACGCTGTCATGACTGTATTCAGACAGGGTTTGGACTCAAGGTCTCTAAGTTAGTTACAGGATGAGCACATTGAGTCATCCCATTAAGTCAGTGTGATGGAATCCGTGAATGGTCCGTGAATTCCAACTCCCGCTCATAGCATTACCGCCGACCAATGTCACTGGTGAGTATTTCTGCTTACATCCGGCATGGTCGACCTCAGTGGTCATGATTTCTTACTAGAACACGATGGGAAACTTCATCCTGTGGTAGGTAGTCACTTGTGAGTGTTAGTTTGATGTCTGGAGATTTGATTGAATGACTGGCGACTAAATTTCAGTTTACAAGTTTGCATTGAAGTTTAACAGTTGCCGTTTCCAAACTCTGTATATAGAGCACACATAGGTAGAAGAAAACAAACTCAAAGGAACTTTAGTGAACACAAATATACGACATAGAAACTTAATCAATCTTGGGGATTATGTTGGGTTAATGTAGTCTCACGATTTTGAGGTAATAGTTTACAGTCAGTGGTTCTTAGAACATAGAGAAGACGAAGGTGATGAAGGTAACGAACCATCATCAACAGCAACAACAACAACCAGCACCAATCACCATCAATGGGAGAGATTTAACTGAGGATATTTCCTGGATTCATTTAAATGGCCAGGAAGCCTGGTTTATAGACCACAATCGGAATGGCGAGATACAACTTCATCAACCTGAAACCAGATAATAATCCTTATTTATCTAATTAGAATAATCTGTGTAAAAGACAGTTCAGCGGAAAATATTTCCTCTATATCGACGAAGTCCTTCAAAGTGGATTTTCAGTCGTATTCACTATGACATATAGCAGTCCATTTTTGAGCAATGGAGTGTGTGTTTGACATAATTAATACAAATGTTGGTTTGTAGGGATTTGATTGGTCCCAGGTCACTTCATGAATTGATGTTGTTTTCAGCTGTTTCATAGTGATTTGCGCCTCTTCAAGACTAAGCAAACATGGCCACTTCGACTCGTCGTCGAGCCCAGGACCTGCAGGATACCAGACGAGTCTGTCGACCACCAGTGAGTCGCTGGTAGTATATGCCCTCACACCCGACTTGGTGAACTTCAAATGTCGACGGGCTTGCCCAGTACACTGAGGATCCCGAGTTAGATTCCGTATGGTGTCATGAGTGCGTACTGCCGAAGAGTCCCCAATGAGTACGAAATATTTGTCTGCTATTCTTGGTTTACCATGATTGTCTAACGTATATCAGTGCATGGCAATCTATGCAGTTACCTAGAAGTGGTTCCTAAGGATAGGAGGAATAATGGGACTGATACATGTCTTTTGTTTTTATAATTTTTTATTATTATTCCCTTGAATTCTAGGTGGAACTTAGGCCTTCCGCAGTACACCTCCCCTTCACCTTCTTCTCCGCAATCTTTCTCAGTCAGACTCACGATTGTGACCGTAAGCTTTTATTTCTTCCCCACACAGTGTTGTCCATGCCCACCCTCGGAACCTTTCTCAACTCGTTTTCCACTCGGGTCCCACTTAAGGGTCTGGTGCAGTGTGGTACCAGTCTACAGTCTCCTTAGCATGTCTCCAAGCCATCTTTAGTTTCTTCTGAATGTTTGTTGGGTAGTAGGTCCCTTTTTCAATTCATCGTTAGAGCTGCTTTTTTCTTGCTTATCCTCTCTGGTCATCTAATCTGCCGCGTAGTGAGTGAAGCTAGGTAGGTGTTCAACGTTTTCAGTGGCCTGATGGAAATGCTATTCTCAACGCAGTAAATCTCTGAATCGTATAGCATCATATTAGTGTTGAAAATTCCAATCGTGTTCCTTATGATGTAGTGCAGTAGATTCCACAGTGATGAAGACCTTTCTTACCTTTTCAATCCTGGATGACTTTTACATCCTTATCCGTGATACCGTCTGTAGTTGAAACAATTCTGTCGAAATCAGTGATAGAGGTGACTTCCTTTTGTTCTGTTTTTTTTTTTAGTTAATGTTAATACATTTGTACAGCCTGTGAATAATATGATTTCGTCGATAAAGACAATTTTCTTCACTCCATTATCTTTCCTTTTTAATAGTAATAATAATACCTTTATTCTGGCTGGACAGTATTCATATTCTGTACAGAATTTTCAGCTGGGCTTATTGCATTACATTTTCACTTCATTCAGGATCTTCAATTAAAAACAACTTTCAAGTATTGGTGAATTGGCAGAAGTTAGAATTCATGGGCTGACCACTGAATCGAGTCCCAGTGGCTCAATGGTCTACGAGCTAGCTCGCCTTGTAACCAGAAAGTCCTGGGTTCGAATCCCGGTGGGTGCGTACTGATGAAGAGTACCAAACTGGGACGAAACAGCTGTCCAGTACTCCTTGTGGTTGTTTTCCAGTGGTTGTCTAACTGATGTCAGCTCATGATGAAATCTTCCATGGAATAAAAACAATTTATTGACAATAGGTCGTGTGATACAGTTCTCTCTGACTTGAAGCGCAAACAAATCTATGGTGATATTCAGTCTCTGTCTCCTCCCGGAAATGCGCGACATTTTAAAACTCAGGAACAGTTATTTAATGTGATGTGTGATATGCTATTACCTACGAATATGCTTATTCTCAAGTTTGATAGAAACATTTACGAGTTGACTACGGATTGATATCGGCTAGAGAACCATTGAAAACCACCACCAGGACATTCCGGTTACAAGGCCACTGGGATCCGATCCACTGGCTCATGAATTCTAACTTCTACCAAATTGTGATTTAGCGCGACCATCAACCAATGTCGTCGGTAGGACATCCGTCCCCACATATGACATCTGGATGAACCTCACTGGTCACGACTTCTCACTAGAACTCCAGGAATGGTATACGAGCTTGTTTCGTGACTGCGGGGCGGTCCTAGGTTCGAACCCTGCGACGTGGGTGCGTACTTCTGATGATTCCCAAACTAGGATGAAACAGCAGCAGCTGTCCAGTACTCCCTGGTTGGCTTTCAATGGTTCTCTAATTGATATCAATCCGTGATCAACTCGTAAAAACATAACTAACCCTTACAAACCAAACTATAGAAAATTAATAGAAACCTTTGAATCTGCAGGGGTTTCCAGTCATTTAAGTATTGTGAGTTTAGTGATCACTTTATATTTATATGTTTTGTGAAATATGTTTCCTGATATTGATAATCGTCTTTTCATCCACTCCTGTGTTTCTTTGTTGGTGTTGCTGTTGGTGGGGAAAACAGTGCTGACGTCTCCTTATCATGGATAACTCTATCAGCTAAGGGTACACATTCTCCAATATATGGTTGGGCTTCTGGAAAGTCTACACAGATTCCGGTGACCACTGAACAAAGCACTGATGATGAGAAATCTTGCGATGAGAAGAAAAAGAATGCGGATAGTGATAATGCTGATACTGATGTACAACAACATTTCAGTGTACCAATTCCAGTTCAGTGTAGAACAATCGGTGGTTTACATCGTAAACACTTGGAGGTTAGTTGATTTTACATCTTTGTAACTACTGATTCAAAATGTTCATTGAAGTTGTGTGTTTGTTTTCACAAGAATGGTTTTACTGAACAAAACATATTCTTGTCGATAACCTGCTCTTCATCATGAAGAATAGCAATAACGAAGAACAAAACAGTTTCATTGGTAATCATAAATCACAAGGAGTGGATGCATCTGCGCCAGCCGGCCATTGAGAACGATTTTGAGGCATATCACCAAGGGTTTCCAACCATTGGTTTTTACCGTCCCGAGTACCCTAACCAAACCAGTCAGGAAGTCTACACCTTCCTACGTGACTGGCTTAAACAAACTGTTGTGGATTTCATTGATTAGTGTCATGTTTTGGTTTGATCGCTGCTGGATAGCTCTTTTCCAGCCTGACCCCTATGTCAGCTAACATATTACCCATTGTCGTGTAAGGCGATGACTAGGCATCTGTAACACATTTCCTAAAACCATCTCAGTCGATGTAATTTCACAGCCTCATCGATTGGATTTCCCCTCCTTACCTTACGTTTCAGTCAAAATCAGTATAAGATAATGTACATTCAGAAATATTATTTTTATCAATAAGATACAATCAGATGGGAAATAAGATGTTTTATAGCAACAATGCGTAACTTGTTACAAAATACCTTGCAACTACATAGGTCAAACTAATAGATCGGGGTAGTCAGATTGTCAGAACATAATTACTTGGCTATGCATAGAATAATTGATCCCACGAAGATAAGTAATTTAGAAAAATAAATTCAGCACTGCATTGTACTGCGTGCATTAACACACAACCACACAATAGGGTGGATAGGACACAGTCAAAATTCTAAAAAGTAATATAGGTAGGTAGGTAGGTGGGTGAAGAGAGAGAGGGAGAGACTGATTACTGAACCTCTATTCATCTAGTCTACACCCTACACGTTCAATACAAGTAACTGAACACAAATACCCCAGAGATATGGAAGATATTATTACTACCAGTCAGTCAAATCAGAGGAGGATAATAAATAATAATGTTAAAATGTATTCAATTCACACATAATAACATTCTAACAGGTTACTTAAATATTTTAATTGCATGCAGGATTTAATCATGAGCTGACATCAGTTAGAGAACCACTGGAAAACCTGGGAGTACTGGACAGCTGTTTCGTCCTAGTTTGGGACTCTTTAGCAGTACGCACCCACCGGGATTCGAACCCAGGACCTTCTGGTTACATGGAGAACTAGCTAGTAGACCATTGAGCCACTGGGACTCGATCCAATGGTCCTTGAGCTCGCCTTGTAACCAGAAGGTCCTGGGTTCGAATCCCGGTGGGTGCGTACTGCTGAAGAGTCCCAAACTAGGACGAAACAGCTGTCCAGTAGTCCCAGGTTTTCCAGTGGTTCTCTAACTGATGTCAGCTCATGATTAAATCCTCCATGCAATCAAACAAAATCCCTACAAAACCAATACTTGAAAATTAAATATTTTACCCTAAAACATTTCGCATTTGATTGTATTTGATTGATAACATTAATATTATTTCTGAGTGTACTTTATCTTATATTGATTTTATTCAAATGTCTAATCATCACTTTTTATTCATGTATATAAATGAAGCGATAAAGTTGTGTGAGTGGTACCTTGATATGGTGATTATGAGGAGCAATTAATATTGTGCTTGAAACGTCGTCATCAGTAAATATTAATTACTGTATAACACAACACTGTGTGATTTTATGGAAATGAAATTTTATCCATAATGGAGTTTAATGAAGGTTTCCATCACCAGTTACCTACTTTACTTTATTACTGAATATCAGATGACGAAAATGGATAAGCAGTGTATGAAGAGCTCCAGGATGCCTACCAGACAAACAACCTAACACAACTGTTGAGTGATATCACACCACCCGCTAGCTAAAGCAGGAAACAATGAGTTGGGAGTCGTCGCTTTGACAGTAATATGGAAGCGATCGCCTGATGAAGAATTTAACGTTTCTGGGTAATTGTGAAACCATCTAAAAACGGTCTGTAGAGAGAACTGAGTCGAGATGACAATGTGCTTCTCAATCTGTATGAAATAATAAGCGTAGTAAATTATTCTTAGACTGACAACTGTTATTTATTATCTTTTGTCTATATTTTTCTGCTTATTCTCTTTCCTGCCAGATATGTTCAGCTCTTACTGTACCAATTGTATCCTTGGATGGTGATACGAAAACGAAGGTTAGCAAAATCTTTTTTGAATTGAGATTACTTTATGTTGGTTAAGCGATATATGCATTTATACATTTATGTATTCTAGTTAGTTAGTACGTTGGCTGTTTCTTCACGAATATCAGATTTCGGGCGTAAAACTGATTGGAATAAGTTTTGTTACATCACCAGAAAAAGAGTCGAGACGCCCCTACAGCGATGAAAAACCATTGCTAACTCTTCAATTTTCTGTGAGGAGGGGGGCGGGAGTATGCATTATTGTTACCTTCTGTAACAACTTTAATCACTTCACACACACACACACACATACTCGCAAAGTCTGTCAGAAATTTTGGTGTTAGTTTTGTAGGGATTTTTGTTTGATTGCATAGAGGTTTTCTGCATGAGCTGACATTAGTTAGAGGACCACTGGAAAACCTGGGAGTACTGGACAGTTGTTTCGTCCTAGTTTGATACTCTTCATCAGTACGCACCCACCGGGATTCGAACCCAGGACCTTCTGGTTACAAGTTGAGCCACTGAGACCCCCGATCCAATGGTCTTACTGCTGAAGATTCTCAAACTAGGACGAAACAGCTGTAGAGTACCCCCTGGTTTTCCGGGGGATCTCTAACTGATGACAGCTGATGAAGAAATTTCGGTGCCTACCAGAAACACCAAACATGTGGTAGATCCTATTTAAAAAAACCGAAATGTCTTTGTTTGTGTGTCTGTGGGGGCGGGGTTGTTTGAGCTGCTCTAACTCTCTATCATCCATTGGTGAAAAGTTTTCTAGGTTCGATCAGGAAATGATCTCCATTACAGCGTCAGTAAAATCCAGGCAGTAGTACTGGGCAGTTGTTTAGTCCTTATTTACGACTCTTCAGGATACGCACCAATTGATCCCGCCAACTGTGGATCGAACGTAAGACTAAGCTGTCTACCACTCCTTGGTTTTCAGTGGAATTCAGTTTTTTATCAACGCTGAAATAAATAGATTCCCTACAAACCATTTTATTTAACCTTTTCTCGCTTTTTTGTGATAGACATGAATTCCTTCAAAGTTGCTTATACGCCTTGCTGAGTGGTTGGTGCCGACAAGCACTAAACCTCAGTGGTAGACAAGACTTCTTGCCGATTGACTCCAATGATCTAATAACATCGGCATACTTTGGTATTCTATCAACAATGTCATTTCTTGTCAAGCTAACCTCTGTCGATGCCTGTGGACAAAGTCAACTGTTTTCAGTTACAGGATTTCATTATTAGCTGACATTAGTTAGGGAACCTTTGAAAAACCTGGGAGTACTGGACAGCTGTTTCGTTAGCCCAAGTTTGAGACTCTTTAACACTACGCACCCACCGGGGTTGAAACCCAGGACCTTCTGGTTACAAGTTGAGCTAATTCGTAGACCATTAAGCCACTGGGACCCAATTCAATGGGCCATGAATTCTAACTTCTGCCAATTCACGATATAGCGCTCAGCTGCTAGCCGATATCTTCGGCAAGTATTTGTCCTCACACCCCGACCTGTTGCACCCTACTGGTCACGACTTCCCACTAGAACCCCGGGTAACTACCTACCTGTAACCGATCAACCAAACCTCTACAAACCAATACTTGAATATCAATGAAATGCTCAATAGCGACTTGCCCTATTCAGGTAGGTAGTTACCTGGCGTTCTGGTGAGAAGTCGTGACCAGTAGGGTGCAACAGGTCGAGGGTGTGAGGACAAATACTTGCCGAAGATATCGGCTAGCAGCTGCGCTATATCGTGAATTGGCAGAAGTTAGAATTCATGGGCCATTGGGTCGGGTCCCAGTGGGTGTGTGTGTACTGCTAAGGAGTCTCAAACTAGGATGAAACAGTTGTCCAGTGTTCCCAGAAAGTTTTTCCAATGGTTCTCTAACCAAATATCATCTCATGATGAAATCCTGTAGCCTATCAACCAAATCCCTACAAACCAATACTTAAACTGTTTCTAGTGGAACCATTAGCACACAACAGCAAGAAGAAGCCTATTCTTTATCAGAAAAAGAGGTTGAGGATATATAAATATATATACGTATGAAGTATATTTTCAAGTTATAAGTATAAATAGAAAGAAGATAAATAAACACGTATGAAAAATGGACTAGAGACCATGTTTTCGTAGAATTCCGAAAAAGGCGATGGTTTAAGTCCACTGTAGTGCAAGGGTTTGCCAAAACTGTTTCTGTGCATACACAGCCCATAGTGTTTTTCTTTTTTTGTAGCAAGAGCTTCGGCTGTGAACAGAAAAATCTTGGTGGGGAAACCCTTCTGTATTGATACAAGACAGAATGATCTGTAAGAACAAGGTGTTCAAGAGTTTAGTTTATCTGTTTTACCCTATTTCTACTTCTTGATAACACCCTATATTGGGAGATGTTCTATCGCACGTTTACACAATATCTTATTGATATATAGCCTATGCACTTCTCTTCACGAGAGTAGGTGAAATCGTGTGGATGTTGTCAACATTGAAACATTGACTTTGCTATATTTTGATGAATGAGAGATGTTTTACGATTAAAGTGAGCTGTGTGAATATTAAGTGAAGAATGAATGGTTTTCGAACTGTGCTTAACATAACTATCATCAGCTTTTTGTGATACACAGATAGCATCGTCGGTTGTAAGTGCTTGGTTAAAATTGTCTTTTGATCTGGTTTATTTTTCAATAGTTTATGGTACGGCTCGAATCTTCGTGGTGATATTAGTCTCTTACGCCAGTGTATACTTACTACTATGTGCTCTAGGTTCGACCCCCAACCGATGTGCACTCCTAAACCTTACTTAGCCAATGATAAGACCGGAGAAGAGGGAAACGGTTGGTCTGACGTATGATGCTATCAACCCCACCCCAACCCCCTCATAGACATATACAACGCCACCACTACTGAGACTTCAAAGCCTAAAGCTTTCCTTCAGCCCTAAATCCCCACTCAGAGCCCAAAGGAGTGAAAATATGAATACCCGATAATAAACCACCACACTTATAGAAAATGTTACAATTGATGCATGTATGTTTGTTATTCAATATAGTAGCATACGTAACAAATTCGCGTTGATGTATTGTAGTGCCCCCAACCCACTACCCCCTATTTTATGCCTTATCGAACTAGAAATTAACTAATTCACTATCAGGAGGTTTCCGTCTTTTTCTTCTTCTCTTTCTTTTGTTATTTTACAGTTTCATTTATGGTTAATTGGTCGTGGTGGGCCAGCTGATTCACATTTAAGTGATTCATCTCCACCGACATCATTGAATCGTGGTTATTTAGGTCAAGTGCATATTTTTGAACCAACAAAATTTACACAACCTGTGTATAGTTTCGATTTAGATAATGGTTTTTTGCCTACAACTGCTGTTTATGTGAAATATGCTAAAGGTGAGAGGCAGTTTATGTATCATAAATATATATATATATATATATATATATATCCCTTTATATTCGTCGATGGCTTCTTTTGTTGCCAATATTGATGTTAATAGCTATAATATTAAGTTGAAATATGTCGGTAATCGGTTGGTTGTGGCTACGCAATGGAGTCCGAGATGGGCGTCTTGTTTTTTTCTGGGACTTGTGTTGGTAACTGTACCTGCGGATCCTCAGTGGTGTTCCCGCTGACACTTGAACTTTATACCCAACCGCTTTAAGTACCAGTACGTGATCCACTAGGCCATTCACATCCACAAAACCCACCGCTTGTGCAATTGTGTATGCGATTTGAAATTGCTTATTCATATTTTTGGACAACATTCAAATATTAGATAAAGCAATAAGAAGACGTAATTTGTGTGAATCGTGTAATGTATTTCCGCACACAACACATTTCGAACAATCTGATCACACACGGACTTGTCATAAGAACATATATGTGAGAGGTGCGTCCTAACCGAGTGCGTCGGTGGCACAGCGGTTAGGACGCTCGCCGACCATGCACATGGTCCTGGGTTCGATCCCCGGCCACCGACGCACTCCTTCACCTCGCTGAGCCAGAAATAATGCTGTTAGAGAGGAAAGGTTGGGCATGAGGCCAGCAACCCCATCCTGTAAAAAATTTACACTGCTACAGAAACTTCAAGCCACTAACTTGAAGCCCTATGTTCCACTGGGAACGTGAAGGAAAAATTAATTTTAATTAATTAAGAGGTGAGAAAATAGACTTAGGTCAAGTTAAAAAGACATATTCAAGGTCAAAATAACAATTAAGACCACTAAACCAAATAGCAGAGGTGATAGTACATCTGCTATGGTATCAAAAAAATTTAACAAAGAAGGTTTAATGTGATGACGAATTGTTGCTCTGAACGCATAAAGGTGGTTTAAACTTTCTAATCGCCAGCTAGGACTTCCACAAACTTTAGGATGCGCCCCAAACACGTTTTATAAATAGGTTTAAAAGATCTGTTAACGTCAATTTTATGTTCTGTCTCTATAATATGTTTCGCAATAGAGGAGGTAGGTCTCCTGTTCTCACCGTTAATAGGTTCTGAAGATTCCATTTGTTTCTGGAGCCATTTAGGAACATGCTCTAAAGCTCTTACTTGCAGAGATCTATGGGTCCTCCCTCTGTATGTGTATTTGCGCACGTTCATTCAAATTGGTAGATACAGTGGGATGTGACATCATTTTTCACATGTTCGAAAGGCTTAGATAGATATAATGGCTTTACATTCTCAATTATTATGATATTAGCTGCACAAAAAGTCTTTTTAACAGCAGCGTTCAGTCTTTGTCTAGTTATCAAGCTGCTTTGATTCCCCATATAGGGTAGCTTGATGTACACGTCTTTCTTAGGGGCGAATTGGAGAGTCGGTCTTGGTGTTCCACTGACTACTTTATATCATGAAAATCATCCACTACATGAGCTACAAATCTTCCTCCATTATATTGAACTGCCTTATTTAATAACTAGCTTTTAGTATGTCTATAAGAAAGGTTAAGGAGATTGAGTGTTTCGGGTAAGAATCTGCAGCCCGTAAGAATAAATAAACGGTATCGTCACTGCCAGTTTCATAGACTGGAGTCGCCTGATGTGTTTCTTTCACTATGAATGCGAAGCAATGAAAAATGCCACTAATCTTTTTATTTTCAAGTATTGGTTTTGTAGAGAATTTTGTGTTGTTTGATTGCTTGGAGGATTTCATCATGAGCTGGTATCGGTTGAACAATCATTGGAAAACCAACAGGGGAGTGCTGGAAAGGTAGCTATTTCGTCCTAAGTTGCGATTCCTTATCAGTACGCACCCACATATTGCGGGGTTCGAACCCAGGACCTTCTGGTTACAAGGTGAGATAGCTCGTAGACTAACTTCTAACTTCTGCGAAATCATGATATAGTGCGTCCACTTCGCAATATCTTCTTTGATGAGTTACTACCTCACCTTTCACCTGCTGTACCCTACTAGTCACAGCAGCCCACTAGAACTCCAAGTAACTGCCTGAATAGGGCCAATAGCTAGTGATCATCTTTCTATTCTTTTTACCTTTCTGTTCCTTATGGTTGTTGTTGTTATTATTAGTTTAGTCAAGATAAACACAACAAAAAGAATTGCATTTTTTGATTTATTTGCTTGTTCTTCATTTATTTATGTGTTTAATTATTTCCAGAGTCGGCAACTTCTTCATCTCAACAAATGTCGCCTACGTCGAGTGATGCAAAAATTGAATTCACATGGGAGTTGACAGATTCGATTCTTTATGCTGATAATGCTGATGCTAATGAGAAAATAAAAAATGGTAAATTTTACTACATTAATTTTGATACAGCTCTATCCAAACGCTTTTTAAAGAGCGCATTTTATACTACTGAAAACAATAAGCAGTAGTTAAGCGAGTGACACTTCAAATTAATGTAGGATTGACTTAAATACCTTATGAGTAATGGCATACTGATTGTCAGTGATTTGAGTAGTCACTGGTTTAATCACTAGCTGACAGCAATTGGACAACCATTAACAAAGAGGGAGTATTGGGCAGGTGTTCCGTCCCACTTCGAGAATTTTCAGCTGTGTCTCCGCCCACTAGGGTGCATGCCCAGGACGTTTCAGTTACAAGACAAGCTATTTAACTGATCTCAAACCAACACTTTATGATTATTGTGATGCCCACTAGTGAATAGCGTTATAAAAGAAATTATCTGAAGTTCTAATCAGAAATCGCAACCAGTAGGGTATACCAAGTCAAATAAGAGGACGACTACTCGGCTATGACATTGGTTGTGGAGGTTACGCTATGTATATAGCGCGAATTAGTAGGAGTTAGAATTCATGGGCTATTGGATTGTGTCCCAGTGGATGAATGGTCGCCTTGTAACCGGGATATGGTGGCTTCGGAGCCTGTCTGATGCGTCTTTTCGAAGAACTCTAAACTAGGACGAAAGGACTGTCTAGCACTCCCTGGTTTTCGGTAGACAGCTATTCTTAACATCAGGAATTTGTTTATCATATCTAATAAGTACTGAACTTTTCATGCACTTATAAAAGAGATTTACGTGACACTGTAATTTAGTGAATGCCTTCAATATTAGCTGATTAAATCAGGACTTAGTACTTGTGATACTCACTGTTTGCTTTTTCATTTCTTCATCTTCCGAGTGGAACTTAGGCCTTCATGCTTCTTTCGAAGTGTCAGTAGTTTTGATTTTGTTCACGTTTACGAGGTGGTGTTGCTAGCCAAACCTTCCCTCTTTTTTCAGCATTAATTGTGATTTTCTATAGTTTGGTTTGTGAGGGTTAGTTATGTTTTTACGAGTTGATCACCGATTGATCTCGGTTAGAGAACCATTGAAAGCCAACCAGGGAGTACTGGACAGCTGCTGTTTCATCCTAGTTTGGGAATCATCGGCAGTACGCACCCACTGGGATTCGAATCCAGGACCTTCCGGTTACAAGGCAAGCTTGTATACCATTGAGCCACTGGGACCCGATTCAATGGCTCATGAATTCTAACTTCTAGTGAGAATTCGTGACCAGTGAGGTCCAATTAGATGTCACGTGTGTGGATGGATGTCCCACCGATGCCATTGGTTGGTGCCAGTCGCGCTAAATCACGATTTGGTAGAAGCTAGAATTCATGGGCTGGTCATTGAATCGGGTCCCAGTGGCTGAATGGTATACGAGCTAGCTCGCATGGTAACCGGAAGGTCCTGGATTCGAATCCCAGCGGGTGCGTACTGCCGATGATTCCCAAACTAGGATGAAACAGCAGCTGTCCAGTACTCCCTGGTTGGCTTTCAATGGTTCTCTAACCGAGATCAATCGGTGATCAACTCGTAAAAACTTTAATTGTGAGTTGGACCACGGAACAAGAGAGTGGTCGACCAGCATTCTACCATCGAATCACTAGTATACCATGATACTTACTAGAAAAGCACATTGTTAAAGCTTCAAACAATTGATTTGTGAAAGTGTTTAACATATATGTATCATATACTAGAAATAGAGTATCACAGAAACACTATTCTGTCATGAAGGTTCAATGAGGTTGTGCTCCCGTATTGATGTGGTACCCAGCTGACCAATATCTTGAGTTAAAAATCATATTCCCAATGAAGTCTATCCATTTCGTGTTAGTAGTTAGCGAGAAATCGTCTCAACTTTCAGGCAATGTGTCTCTAGTTCGAGCCCCCCTTTCCGTCTTATTTTTACTCTTTTGCATTCCAATTGTAACATAGACGGTTTTTAGACTGGAAGTTTCAATAACCATCGGCTTGGTCTAAAGGGTGAGGGAGGGAGGGCTAAGTTGCCAGCATCACGCTAAGTGGAATTACTATCAATTTTTAAACTGTGCGTGGATTAGGAAGAGGTATCGGTTGCTAACCGAACCTTAAACCACTTGCTTGGCTTTTGAACATCCTGTGACTTCTGTCGTGTTATAAATCAAGAAGTACTGGGCAACCATAGCCGCCTCCTGGTATAAGATAACTGACTTCTCTTATCTTATTTCTTTTCTAAATCACAATATAATGATATAGTAATTCTATTCCGTTGTCTCTTTCCCTTATACTTTCTATAGATTCTAAAAGTGGTTGTGTAATTTTAGCTTCAAATGACGGTAGATTCTTAGTCTTTCAACTGTGCTACGAATTCAAATCTGATTGTCAGTCTAGTGCTGTTGCTGGTGATGTTCATACGCATACTTGTGGCATTCAGGAGGATCAAGAAGTCTCAACTAAGTGTAGTATTCGTCTACCACACATTTTATATAAATTTAATACAAATAGTCAAGGCCTTGTAGCTAATGGAATGATGTAAGTTGTTGCGTAATGACTAGTAGGGATTTTTTAATTCATGGCACCGTATTTTATCCTCTTTTAATCGTTAAATTTTTAAAAAATTCAGTTGTCAGTGGGGAGAGACTGAGGTTGATGTTTGCCTCACAAACTGCTGTTAATCAGAGAATCGTTGGAAACTATAGAAATAGTACTGGACAGTATCTCCCCCCCCCAGTTTCAGACTTTTCAGCAGTATGGATCGATGATCATATACATCAAGGATCGAACCCATGATCTTTAGATTGCTTATCTGGCCAGCCAGTCAGTCTGTTGATTTTCATTGATTCTATCACGGATCATTGAATTTCCACTCGTAGGCTGAAATCCGGGACATCTATCCCTAGTATCTTCATCAGTAAACACACTACTGGTAAGTCTCAGACTGGGATGAATCAGCTGTCCAATGCTTTTTAATTCTTTAGGAATACCTGGCATTTACCTGTTGGTTTGTAACAAAACCTACACACCGAAATTAATCCGAGACCCGATAAAATCTGAAATGTGGTTGAATTTTTGACAGCGATTGCGTAGTATGAAACCTGCATTAACTAAGTAGGAAGTAGAAGTAAATTAAGTAGAGGTAAAACATTTGCTCACCAATGATATTCCTAATTGTGCTTGACTGGATTATGCGTCAGACTGTAAGAAACGAGAAGACAGGAATATCCTGGACCGACGTGAAGAACTTAGAAAACCTGGATTTCGCGGATGACTTATGTTTGATGTCACACACAATCGAAGACTTACAAGCGAAAACCGACAAATTGGTCGAAGAAGCAGCAAAGACAGGACTCCAGGTAAACATAGACAAGACGGAGGTTATGAAAATAACCAACCAACAACAGCAACAACATCCAACGTCAATCACCATCAACGGGAGGGATTTGAAAGAGGTTACTTCATTCACTCACTTATCTAGGGAGCATTGTCTCAACTACAGGAGGAGCGGACGAGGATGTCAAATCGAGAATCGGGAAGGCGAGAAACACATTCATCAATCTGAAACCAATCTGGAAATCTTCGTCACTCAGCCAGCATCACCAACAAAATTCGGATTTTCAATACAAACGTAAAGTCAGTTCTTCTATACGGATCAGAAACTTTGCAGGTGGGTCACAAAGAATATTTCCAAAAGGCTGCAGAACTTTGTTAACAACTGTCTTCGCTCAATACTGAAGATCAGATGGCCGGAAAGAATCACCAACAAGGAATTATGGGAACAAACAAAGCCAGAACCAATCGCCCAACAAATATGCAGGAGAAAGTGGAGATGGATCGGACACTCGTTGAGGAGACTGCCGGGTGATATCGCGCGTCAAGCCCTCGAGTGGAACCCGAAAGGGAAGCGGCGTGTGGGACGTCAGTGCAAGGGTGACATTGAGGAGATCGTGTGAAGAGGAGTTGAAAGAGTATGGATTAACATGGATGCAGGCGAAAAGTATAGCAGAAGACAGAAGCAAGTGGAGATGTGCAGTTGAAGCCCTATGTTCCACTAGGAACCCAAGGGAGCAATAATAATAATAAAATAATAATAAATACATTTGCTCACAGTAAATTTTCTGCCGACTCTGTGTGTTCAACTTCTCTTCAGTAAATTTATCTGACTTGCAGCTAGAATTGCCATGTCTTTGGACCGAAAATTTTTTTGTGATTTCAACTTCAACGTTGACAAACTCCCATATTCATGTACAATTGTGAAAAGTTAATCAGTTAAACAAATTATCTAAGCCCAACTTCTGACAACGATGAATTACGACAAGCCAAAGCATCTGTTATTGATTGTTGCCGCCGTCAGTACCTTAGTACAAAAAGGAAAGTCTGCAACCGCCTGACAAAGTAACACCAAGAAGAAGTAAAACAGTTGAGAAATACTGTTAACGCGTCGTGACAAAGTGTGCTGCTGGTGTAGTTCTTTGGGATTGAAAAGACTACTACATGAAAAGAAAATGAAGAATACACTCTCAGACAAAAGTAAACTACTTTTTCCCAACCTCTCAGTGGAAGAGACAAAACTGAACTAATTGAGAAACAGCATACAGATGTCTTGAAAATAAAAGAAAACTGTGATCAATTAAAATCAATATGAGATAAAGTGTAACAACAGAAGACAAGGGCCAGGCAACAGATCGTTTACTTAGGAAATCAGCACATATTCATAGATTTTCATGTACATTATTATAGATTATTGTAAGCAAACAAACATCATCTTCTGATCAGTGGTTTCTCGTTGAACGGTAATCTTTTATCTGCATGGAGGATTTAATCATGAGCTGACATCAGTTAGAGAACCACTGGAAAACCTGGGAGTACTGGACAGCTGTTTCGTCCTAGTTTGGGACTCCTCAGCAGTACGCACCCACCCCAAACTAGGACGAAACAGCTGTCCAGTACTCCCAGGTTTTCCAGTGGTTCTCTAACTGATGTCAGCTCATGATCAAATCCTCCATGCAATCAAACAAAATCCCTACAACAAACCAATACTTAAAAATCTTTTATCTCTTTGTGGCTGTTTCGTGAACGACAGATCATTTATCTGCTAATTGTATCCGCCTGCGCAAAGTCTGCTGTGATTGGCTGTTGAGTTAGTCTTTGTTCTTGTTTTTTTCTCATGACCAATATTTTGGACATAAACATTGACGTAAATTACTGTCTACAAATCCGGCTAGCAGCCAGCTCTCACCACAACCCTACCAAATGTTATTCGGGTGTCGGTTTGTGGGAATTTGATTGGTTACAGGATTTCATCATGAGCTGACATTAGTTAGAGAACCGTTGGAAAACCTGGGAGTACTGGGCATCTGTTTCGTCCTAGTTTGGGATTCTTCAGCAGTACATGCCCACCGGGTTCTAGTGAGAAATCGTGACCAGTAGGGTGCAGCAGGTCGGGTGCAAGGACAAATACTCGCCGAAGACATTGGCTAGGGGTCGCGGCAGAAGTTAGAATTCATGGGCCATTGGATCGGGTCCAATTGGCCTAATGGTATACGAGCTCGCCTTGTAACCAGGAGGTTTTGGGTTCGAAACCCGGTGGCTGCGTACTGATGAAGAGTCCCAAACTAATACGAAACAGCTGTTCGGTACTCCCAGGTTTTCCAGTGGTTCGCTAACTAATATCAGCTCATGGTAAAATCCTGTAATCTACCAAATGAACCTGAATGTCGACTAAGCTCATCAACCGCATAGCTTAGTCAGTCCAATGCACACTTCTGAGTCGAAATGTCAAAAGCTGTCAAGGTGCCTGCATCAACTTGAATCATATTGTTAAACCCTCTTTTATTAAATAGCTTTTTGTATCTAATGGACTTCAAAGCATCATCGTGATAATTTGGTGGGTGGTGACTAGCAGTGGAATCTAGGTCGCTGACTTCGTCTCATTTGGGACTCTTCAGCTTGGTGTACCTGCATTCCGCAGGGAGTGATGGAGTTCACACTTAGGCCTGGAGAGCCACCTATTTTGCAACTAGTGTCAGCTGTTATTTTTTAATTCAGCTTCATATTCTGGATTGCACTGCTAGTCATTATCCGTCAAAATTACTTCAAGTTGATCCTCAGATATCTGTGAAGTGTCCGCATTAGTATAGTTAACATGTCGACAGAGGCTGGACACATTTCGGTCCGGTCAATAGACCGGAAAGTCAAAAATGAATCACCTTGATATTCGAAGTCGAAAAGGTGTTCGGCAACTGAGCGTTGACCAAAAAGTAATGTGGAAACTACTTCAACGCTACGGCGTACTCAAGTTTTTATCATTCAACAGCTGGATATATGACAGTGATCCATAACCAAAAACTCAGCAAGGCGTTCGAAGTGCATACAGGAATAAGACAAGGCTGGCTGACTGCCTGTTATTACAGATTATATTCTGAATTGTAGTGGACTGCATTATGCGCTAGACTGTGTGTTGGGAGCGAGGAGTCAGGAATACGCTGGACCACTGATCAGGAAACTCTGAAAGATCTGAATTTCGCATGTGGATAATTTATGTTTAATGTCACACAAGCTCGAAGACTTACAGGTAAAAAATCAACAAACTGGCTGAAGAAGGAGGCAAGCAGCGAAGACAGGACTTCAGGTGAACATAGAGAAGACGGTGATGATGAGGATAACCAACCAACCAACCAATCAGCTAACAGCAAAAACTACAAGGACCAATCACCATCATCGGAAGAGATTTGATAGAGGTCATTTCCTTCACTTATCTAGGAAGCATCGTTTCAACTATACAGGCGGAACGAATGAAGATGTCAAAGCTTGTCAGAATCGGAAAGGCAAGATACGCCTTCATCAGTCTGAAACCAGTTTGTAAACCGGTCTTTTGCACTCAGCCAGCATCAAGAACAAGATTCGAACTTTCAAAACCAATGTCAAGGCGGTCCTTCTATACGGGTGATAGACTTGGCCAGCATGTCACGAAAAGGATTTCCAACAGCTTGTTGCAGACACTTCTGTCAACAGCTGCTCTCTTCGTTGGTCCCATACTGGAGATCAGCTGGCCAGAAAGAATAAGTAACGAGAAACAAACCAACAGGCAAGAGCCGATTGCTCAACAAATATGTAGGAGAAAATGGAGATGGATCGGGTACATGTTGAGGAGACCGTCGAATGACGTCGTGCACACAATGCAGGCGATCACTTGAGTGGAATCCTATGGAGAAGCGATGAGTGGGTCGTCGGTGCGAGAGTAACGTGAAGGAGATCGTACAAAGAGGAGATGGGTGATTATGGGCAATCATGGAACTATCCAGCTGAAGAGGACAGCAGGAGATAGGACGAAGTGTCGTCGATGTGTTGTTGAAGCTGTATGTTCCACTTGGAACCCAAGGGAACAATAATAATTATTATTATTATTACTATTATTATTATCTCCGTTTTTTTTCATCCTCTGTTCTTATTGCTTTCCTTCTTTTTTGTTTTTCATGCCTTTTATATCTATAGTTCATGTGATAATTATGTATGCATTGGTCTGTTCAATTCACTTGGTACCAGCCAATTTGTATGCTTCCAATGGCCAGTATTCACTGAAATTGTGTCTAAAGATTCTTCAACTCCTGCAAGCCTAAAAACTATGCATAAACTAATCAGTTTACCCTATGAATCATTATCTACAGGTCCTTTGATTATGACATCAAGCAGTTGTAATGATGACTGGAGGAATAACGTGATGGGAGAAGGTGAGAGTGCACCAAACGATCATATATGGCTTGGCACAGCTGGTGGTGGTTATTGTTATTGTTTGTCAGTGAAATCTGGTGATGTTATTACAAGGTAAGCTGGTTTTATTTTATTTTATTTTACTATATGTTCCACGCGTTCCGTGTGGAGCTGCTGTTGACACTTTTGTCAACAGTCGCGCCCTCTTCGATGGCTCCTATACACTGGAAGCTTAGATGGCTGAACCAATCAAGAAGCCAAAGTAAAGTAAGGACGGATTGGATACGTGATGAAAAGACTGGTGGGTGACACCACACGTCAGGCCGATACTTGAGTAGAACCTGAATGGGAAAAGTTATCCTGGTGTGTGCGTTGGTGACACAGAGGTAGAATGCTCACCGACCACGCAGGTAATCCTGGGGTTCGATCCCCAGCCACCGACGCACACTACTTTACCTCGCTTAGCCAATATTAAGACTGGTAAAGAGGGAAGGTTGGGTACAAGGTCGGCTAGCAACCCCATCCTGTAAAAAAATAATCACCACTGCTACATAAACCTCAAGCCTCTATTTTGAAGCCCTATATTCCACTGGGAACGTAAATGAATAAAAACCTAGTTATCCTGGAGGAGATTGGTTCCTACTGCTTGACAGCCTTCATCGGTGTTAGTGAAGTCATCCGTAATGGCTATATATACTAAGCATGTTCTTGAGTGCCGTCTGAATGACCAAAGTTGATTTGCTGACTCTCCAGTTTAAACTTTTATGAACCCAGTTCCCTTCCCGTTTACTCCCATAGATTCGTTACACTCCTACATCATACTCCCTTCATTTCTTCTGCAGTGCAGCCAGAATTCTGAGCCTCATACTTGATACAGACCATAGTTTCGCTTTCATCGAATGATGATACTTGACCCAATCGACTTATCAAAGGCTTTTATCTACCGGAAGTCATTCATTTACCATTCGTGTAGTTGTCCCTATTCATACTGTAAGGTTTCTATAGGGATAGAGGTGTGTTTTTATTCGGTAGGTTTAGTAGTTCCACTATCAACTTTCTTTCTTTCTTTCTTTTTCCAGCTTTCGGATTGGCTATTTTAATGTAAGGGTAGAACTTAGACACTGTGGTAGAATGTAATTCCATATCAGATAAATTTACTTCAAATATCACACAGTGATGATGATGCATTATTAACAACTGGATGACTGTTGGAGGAAAAATTATTACTGCTCATAATCAGATAAATTTTAGTCACATGGGGTTTCACAGTTTGTCTCATTTATTAATTTTCTCTGTATTCTGTCTCTCCAACTCCTCATTGTTGTTTTTTATCACTTTCAGCATCTCCGGCACACATAGACGCTAAGTCATTCCGATAGGTTGAACTTAGATCAACCAACTGTCTCAGAGATAAACTTTGCCGGTTTAATGACCCAATAGATCCAATTAAGAGAAACAATAATTTAATTTACCAAATACCATGTAATGACTGCTAGTGAGGTCAATTGCATACGGATGGTACTGGTGTAGAAACAGAAGACAAGGATCAGGAAACAGATCGTTTACTTAGGAAATCAACACTTATAGATTTTCATGTACATTATTATAGATTATTGTTAGCAGACAAACACAGTCTTCTGATTGGTGATTTCTCGCTGAACGTTAATCTTTCAACTCTATGTAGCCGTTTCTCGAATTTCAGATTATCTACCCGCAAATTGTATCCGCCTATGCAAAGTCTGCTGTGGTTGGCTGTTGAATCAGTCTTTGTTCTTATTTTTCTCATGACCAATAGTGGGGACGTAAACATTGACGTAAATTAATATCTACCAATTTTGGCTAGCAGCCAGCCCTCATCACACTAGTAGATCAGGGTCAACTAGAATATTGTAACATAAAAATTTAGCTAGATCTGGAATGATTGACCCTCCTAAGTTAAATAACCTAGGGAAAAGCTAAGCCATTGTGTTGCATTCACTTGCATGTAATCACACAACAAAGTGGGTTGGCCAGGCTGAGAGTATTAAAAAGAAATATAGTTCGGTGGAGAAACAAGTTAATCACTCAAGCTTTGTTTATCGATTCAACACCTCACACATACAATGGAAGTGATGCAACGCCGCCTATACTGCAGACATGAAAAGTGGCAACAAGCAACAAAGGGAATTTAGAGAGAGGCACAGAAAGAGAAAAAACATATAAATGAGACAAATTTTGAAACTGCGTGACTAAAATTGATATGATTATCAGTAGCAATAATTTATACTCGAAACCTTGTCATCCAGTTATGAATAATGCATCATCATCGCTGTGTGATGTCTAAAATAAGCTTGTCTAATAAGGACACTGGCATTCTTGAACACTTTTGTTGCAGACGATATACATATTTATGTATCTGCCTGTAATACTACTTATAAATCTTTGCAGTAGCCGACACCACACTATTGTATTCCACTCGCGGAACTTAAATGAATAATAATAGCAATAATAATAATAATAGTGGGAAGCCGTGACCAGTAGGGTACAGTAGGTTAAAAGTGAGGCAGTAACTCATCGAAAAAGAGGACATTGCCAAGTGGTCGCACTTTGTCGTGAATTGGCAGAAGTTAGAACTCATGGACTGGCCATTAGATCGGGTCCCAGTGACTGTTTAGTGGTCTACAAGCTAACTGGCCTTGTAACCAGAAGGTCCTGGGTTCGAACCCGTTGGGGAGTCCCAAACTAGGCTGACGAAACAGCTGGCTGTCCAGTACTCCCTGTGGTTGTTGTTTCCCAGTGGTTCTCTAACGGATATCAGCTCATGATCTGAAATCTTCCAACCAACTAATCAAACCAAGAAAATCCCTACAAAACCACTACTTGAAAATAATAATAATAATAATAACAACTGTATATGACTTTTATTAATGTGTTCTTTTCTCCTTTTTCTTGTATACAGTTTAGCCTTACCCAATGAAACACCATGTCTCCATGCAATTTGTATTAAATCCTCCACATGTAAATCATCTGAATTGATTTGGTTAGCTGTGTCTGGTAATCCAACAATTTGTACACCATCAAAGACAAGTGTAACAAGTACAGTGAAAACGGACAACGTCTCTGGTGATGATAATGACAGTAACAATAATAATAATAACAATAATAATAATGATAGTGATAATTCTAGTAATAAAAATAAAATGAATAATATCAGCGGTGGAATGGCACGTCTTCTAGCTTGTTGTCCTAAACAAAAGTGTATTCTACGTCAAATTGATTTAACCGCTGCTTTGTCTTCTATGATAGGTAAGACCTGTGTTTGTTTGTTTGTTTGTTTTCACTTTTAATTAGCCACATTTCAATAGTTTCACTTTTTGTTTTTCATATTTGCATTCTTTGTGTTCCGAGGGGGCGGTTGTTCTTTTTTTAAATGGGGTATGGTTGCCAGCCTCATACTCAAACTTCCCTCTTTTCTGGGTTTACAAACCTCCCTGTCTAATATACTATGTGGAATTCGTTGGTCAGGAATGGAACCTGAGCTTATCCATCGTTAGTAGAATTCCTATGCATCAATAGTTCCGTGGTAGAATAACCACACCCATCATATCTCACGTGGTCTGGAGTTCGACTGCCGGTCAGCGCATTCCTTGACCTCACTTATTATTATTATTATTATATCCTTTAATTCCTGGTGGAACATAGGGCTTCAGCTGCGTATCTTCATTGCCTTCTGTTTTCTACCAACTTTTTCACCCCGCTCCAAGTCTGCCCACATACTTTCATCTCCTCTTCACATGACCTCCTTCAAGTCACCCTCACACTGACGACCAACTCGCCGCTTCCCTTTCGGTTTCCACTACAGGGCTTGTCTAGTGATGTTACTTGATGGTTTCCTCAGAGTATGGCCAATCCACCTCCATTTCTTCCTGCCTATTTATTTCCCAATCGGTTCCTGGTTGGTTCGCTCCCAGAGATCCCTGTTGCTGATCTTTTCCGGCCGGCCAACTGATCTTGAGTGGTATTGAGCGAAGACAGCTGTTAATGAAGGTCTGTAGTTTGTTTGAGATACTCTTTATGACGCGCCAAGTCTCTGATTCGTATAGTAACACTGACTTCACATTGGAGTTGAAAATCCAGATCTTATTTTTGATGCCGAGTGCTGTTGATCTCCACACAGACTTAGGAGTAATGAAAGCTTGTCTTGCTTTTCCGATTCAGGCTTTGATATCCTCGTCAGTTCCGCCTGTATTCGAAATAACGCTTTCCAGGTCTGTAGGTAAAGGAGGTTGTTTCTTTCAGGTTCCTCTCATTTATGCTGGCTGATTGTTGTCTGTTGTTGTTGCTGTTGGTGTTGGCCAGGAATCTTCATCACCTATGTTTTATCTATGTTCACCCGAAGTCCTATCTTTGATGCTTCTTCTGCCAGCTTGTTGCTTTTCCTTGCATATCTTCCAGTTTGTGAGAAATCAGACATATATCATCGGCGAAGTCCATATCCTCCAAGTTTTTTTATGTGAGTCCATTTTATTCCTGTTTCCTCGTTGCCCGCTGTCTGTCGCATTATCCAATCTACTGAAATCAGGAAAATCATTGACGATAGTAGACAACCTTGCCTCACTCCCGTCCCCACTTTGAAGGCTTCCGTAAGTTTCCCGTTATCGATTACTTGGCATGCAGCATTGTGGTATAACTGTTGGTAGTTAAAACCTGTGAAGAGGGTACGTGTGAGGTGTGAGGTTAGCAACCTCACCTTTTTCTTACAAGAAAACCAGATGGTAGTGTAAAGAGGAATTCGCATAGGAAAAGCACATTGTTAGGACAACATACACATTTTCATAGCTTCATTCCTCTCCAGTACAAAAAATGTAGTAACAACTCACAACCACAGGGTTAAAGCTACATGCTTAGAAGAGGTAATTTCAGATGAACTCAGGATTGTATATGATATCTTGATTGGAAATAGCTACCCCGACAAATTTATCAAGAAACACATGACAAATAAAGTGGAAAAGGACTACTCACTATCCGTAAACAAGAAGCCTTTATACATACGAATGCAATTCAAGGGCGATATACCAAATGAAATAATTACGAAGAAATTAAGAAAGTCAGTTCAATGAACTTTTAATGCTGCCAAGTTACAAGTCTTATTTTCTGCACGATCGATGGTGATTCCCCAATTGACAGATGAAGTACCTAGACTAGCTAGCCACTTCTAATTGTATCTACCAATTCAACTGCGCTCGCAGTGGACCGAGTTATATTGGCCGTTGCCCTGGGAACTTCATTCTCCATGCTCAGGAACATCTACCTATGTGATTAAATAAATAAAGTTTAGTAAAGACCATCAACAGTTCGATATTATAGACCACCTGGTTCAAACTGGCCACAACGCCAGCTTTAACAAATCATTGTCTATCATCCACCGGATACCAAATGAATTGTCAAAAGCATCTAGGTTCCGCATACTCCAAACAGCTGAGGCTATCGTGATTTACCTGAAACAATCGGTGCTCTCTATGCAGAAGAAGCAAGTCCAATCACCACTAATATCTTGGCCGGCCGTCAGGGGAGACTTTAAATTCATGAATTTGTATTATTGTTATTTTTTTCCTAATTTACCTGTCTGATATTCAGTGTTGTGTATTGTTATGTTGATGCTGTTGAAATGTAATCCATTGATATTATTACTACTATTATTATTGATTCGATGTTATTTAAACAACACTAATGTTGGTAACAGCACTAATTCATTCATTCACTATTATAGATGCATATATAACTGTAGAACCTGATGATGAAGAGCAGGTTATCGATAGGGTGAATATTCTTTGTTTAGTTACTAAACCAGTCTTTTGAGAAACGTTTAATTGGAATTTTCAATCATTTGAAGACGTAACACTGAATGGAGAAGTGATTACACATACCAAATTTTTGTACAGATGGGAAAAGGATAAAGGCTTAGCATTATGATAATGAAGGGGATCAAGCAAACCGCCTCTCTCTCTCTCTCTTTCTGACAAAGTTCATGGTTTTCTTTGTTCATATCATGACCCTCCGTTGTGGATAATCCTTGGCACTGACCTGGCCTTACCTTATGCATTACTTTGAGTGATTTCGGTATTGACTCAGACAAAATTATGCGCTCAGGAATTCACTTCATTGGCTTGTCTAATTTCTCCTTTTATAGAATGTAGATATTGAAATAATGCAATTACTCACTCACAAAAGAAACTGTGTGCAGACATTGTTCACAAGAGAGTTCAAACACCCAATATAGCACTCCAGAGTTGGAAAGAATGGACGAAAAGTATACCTACCAACGGTCTTCGAAAAAAAGTAGCTATCCACAAAATTTCATCAAAAAGTGTTAAAAATCAAATCATAACACCAACAAGGCGCCATCATCAAAGACCACAAGAAAATTTATCCTACTATACATGAAAAATCTCTCTGAAATAAGAGCTAGAATACTGAGACCGTTTCATATAGATATAGCCAGCACACAGGCCAGCCAGTCAAAGCGCTCAATTCGATATTATGCAAACCGAAAGACACATCCAACAGAAAGAGGAGATAAAATTAATACCATTTACAAAATAAATTGCATGAACTGTAACAGGCATTACATCGGCCAAAGTAGGCGTCCCCTTCAAATCAGAATTCAAGAACACAAATCAGCCGTGAAAAGACACGATATATATTCGTACATATCAATGCACATAGATAACTATGGACATCAATATGATTGGGATAATTGTCGAAATCATCAGTGAACATTACTGTATAACACTGTGAGACGTTATCAAAACAAAATTTACCCATAATGGAATGACACTCTACCGCAGTGCACAAGTTTCATTCTTATATCTTAGACAGAGGAAACAGCAAAAGTGCCAGAGAATTCCTAGAAGCCTGGTACTCAAACGAATATGCAAATAACAAACATGTTAATATAGACCATATCTACCAACTAATAGAAAGTAAATCAGGTGACCAGAAAGTTTAAAATCCGAGTCAATAGACTCAATTATATCACTCATGAAGAAATTTAAATGATTTCACTTTATTAGTGTACAATTGGTGGATGGTGGCTAGCAGTGGAATCCAGGATACGCATCTTGTCCTATTTGTGTCTCGTCAGCTGGATGTACCTGCATTTCTCAGTGAGTGATGATGATGTTCTCACCGAGGCTCGAACCCAGTGCCCATAGTTTCAAACGCCAAAGCGTTATCCACTAGACGATCGTGAAAATAAAAAAAAATTCAATTTGATTTCACTTTATGCTAAATATTGCGCTGAAAGGGAATGTTGTCTAGAAGGACGACGAAAGCTCCGGAAATAAACCAGCCAGCTTATAGAACACTATTGATTGCAGGATATGGATATCCCAGTGTTTATTCAATGAGACTTAAGCTCCCACCCACCCCTTTAAATATAACAGTATGATTGATCGACGAATTTAGGAGCAACACGTGTTCATGACTCCTAAAATGCGTACATATGTTGATTTCAAAGATTCCAGATCATTAGTTATCTAAACGTTTTCTATAAACAGTGTGAAATAAGCAACCATGTAAATCTTTATAAATTTAAACACAGGAAACTATATGTCACTACTGAACAGAGTGAGTGCTAATCACTTCAATAAACTGAATTATTCATTTGGGTAGGAAGTGTGATAAGTGATTGCTTGTAAGTTATTTATGCATATAACATGTAAGCGCGTCAATAAGCTTTAGAGAAAAAATGGAGTTTTTAGAGAGCTTCAAACTCCCGCCTGAATAAATTGAAACATTGAAATATTTGAAGAAGGAGTGTGTATAGGTCAGTACACTCAATTTTTGAGTTTTGTACCTTTGAAATATAAACGTAACCTGGTACATAGAGCCAGGTTAATCTGTTCAGACGAATGCCTCAATGAGGAGCTTAAGATTATTAGAGAATTACTTAGAAAAAATGGTTATCCAGATAAATTCATTGCAAAAAATATGAATTCAGCACCAAAGAGAGTCAGTATGGGCAACATTTCCGAGAAAAACAAGTGTTCACAAAACTTCAGTTTCTGGTTGACAACATCAGCGAAATAATAACACAGCGCCTGAAGAATGCAGTTAAAAGAGCTTATTATTATGCAGCAGAAGTACGTTGTCTCTTCACAACCATCCCTCTTCTATGTTCGAGAAATAAGGATAAACTACCCAAATTTGCCTCCTCTATGTGTATCTACCAGTTTGACTGCAGCTGCGGAGCCAGCTACATTGGGCGTACAATTAGGCAGGTTCATCGTCGTATTTCCGAACATCATCCAGCATGGTTAAGCAAGGGACAAACAAGCTCTATTGTAGCACATTTTGTAGATAGTGAGCATAAGGTTGACGTTAATCCTGCATTTAAAATTATTTATTGCATTTCTACTAATCTTAATTTTGCTCTACGAGTTCGTATTCTACATACCTACAGCTGAAGCAATAGAAATCCACGTGAAGAAGCCAAACCTATGGGTTCAGAAGAAATTTGTACAGCCACTTTCCTTACCTTGGCCATCATGGTAACATGAATGTATAAACTGGACTACTTCGTCCCCCTCCCCCTAAACCTTTAAAAATTATAATTGTCCAAATTATTTTAGTTTTATTTATTTTAACCACTTCATCTTTAATTACGTGTTATCATTGTAAAATTAATTTATTCTAACCATGTCTACCTTTTAAATGTGCATTGTTTGAATTTTTGTTTTGTTCTCTTGTTTCGTAGATATAGAAGGTGTTACAGATCCAATAGACTTAACAATATGTCGTTTATTGATTGTTCCAATGACTGTTGATCGTGAGATATGGTTTGCTACTCGTTCTGGGCTTATCGCTCGTTTACGCCTGGATTACACAGGTCAGTTGTAAAAATTATTATTAGTTTTATTAATTATTAGATCATTGAGTCTCATATGACACTTAGAGCTTCTATGATACATCTCTGCTCCATCCTTTTTCCGCTGTCATCTTCACCTGTTTCCACGACTGTCTATATGCTTCCGTTCCATCTTCCAAAGTCCAATTTGTTACTCACTTCCTGTTCGGGTCTGATTCAAGCGCCTGCCTGAGGTTTCTACAAATGCATGTTCACCTGAAGTTCTCCCATCTCTGCCTCTTCTGCCAACTTGTCGATTTGCTCATGTCTATCTTTAACTTTATCCAACGTAAAACAGAAATCACCTGAGAATTCCAGATCTCCTAGGGTCTTTTTTGTAAACCCAATGTCTGCTCGTGTACTCACTCCTTACGAGTTACCGTATAATTCATTCCAGCACAACTGGGTTGGACTTCGCTGATAACAGACAGTCTCAACCCACTTCTGTCTTCTCTTTAACCGCTTCAGGGAGCATTCTGTTGTGAATTACTGGTCATGAAGCATCATCGTCATCATATAACTGTTGAGTAAGGTTTATGAATCTTCGTGATAGTGCATCCCGTTAGTAGTGTTGAGGCGGTTTCCAAATTTTGTCGACGCTTTCAAAACCCTTTTTGGTTCCGTTGAAGTTCACGTAAAGAGATGACTGACCTCCTAGACACTGTTCAATTATGATGCTTAGTGTTGTAAATTAATCCTAGTATGAAGTGTCTTTCTTTAGTCCAGACTGTTCCATATGAGAATTTATCCATCCAGGACATCTTGTAGTTTTTCCAGGATGATGTTTATCAATGTTTTGCTCCCCGAGGGGGGGGGGTTAGAAGCATACTTAAAGACTTCCCTTTTTGTCGTAGGGCTGGTGTTCACTCGTAGTTATGTCTCTGGTAGTGATATTACTGGACGAGTTGTTGATAGTGGTGTCGAATTAACAGTCCTTTGAAGTAATCAACCCGGCGTGTTGTCCTGTGTCCCAGCTCTTTGGTAATCGTGTCCCCTTCTCTATAGTCTCTTCCTGGTTGGATAGCGACCCAGTTTTTTATGTAGAGTTGTGTGGTCTCTTACCTTTAGCCTGTTCTACTTCAATTGCACTATACTTCACTCTTTTGTTCAGCGCTTTGTAAGTAATGCTTAGATCCTTTCATTCATCTTCTACTTCTCCATGGTTCCCCCCCCCTATTAGCTTCCAGATGCCGTAGAGAGCCGTTCTCACTCTTACCTGTTGTTTCCTAAGATGTCTATATAGATTCCCGTCAACGTCGCTTTCACACAGGTTTCTTCAGTGATGTTTGTTGCTTAATGCCCTTGATGTTTTCCTTATTACTACTGTTAGAGCGTCTCTTGAAACTTCTCTTAGTTTCTAAGTGTTGAATTCTAATTGTGATCTGTCTGTAGCTTCTTTGAAGGCCTTTACTTGATCGTGAGGGTTATTTACCCCATATGGCTGTCTGAGCATACGTTTGCTCCTCTCCTTAAACTTGTATCCAGTAGACTTCTCCACATTCTTGAGATTGAGACTAAGTCTATCTGATTTTCGGTTTATCCATCTGTGAAATGCACATCTCCTTGTTAATATCCTTATGGCTGTACACTCTGGCTCCGAACACTAAATCATTAGACGCGCTAAAGTCTACGAAAAGTCCTCTGCCCTATCATTCCTTGATGAATTCTCTTTCTGTATTGTCTGATCCCAGTTTAGCCTTAGAATTTTGATGTTACCATCTGACAGGGGTCTTGTTTGTTACTCTTCACGGTTGTCTTCAAAAGTCTTCCTTCCCCTCCACTGCAATGCATTGTTTGTAGCAGTGGAGCACTGGATAGCTGTAACACTTTCTTTCCGAGTTAAATCTTGCTTTAATAGTCTTGGGAGAGATTGGTCCCCCCCCTGCATTAGAGCCTTCAATGATATTGGTGAAATCATAATAGTAACTACCTCAGAGTTTGCATAATTATCGTCCGTCTGACTGGAGTAGATTATTGACTTATCAGTTATCAGTTCAGAGAGAAAGAGATCACTTCCTAACACGTCTACACTATACATCCCTTTTCATTTCTCTTACAATCTCAGCAGCTTTGCACCAGCCTCAAAACATAGTCCGGACACTCCATGTCTTCACGCTTACTTTTGCATTTATCACAAGGAAAGACACACAGATTGACTTTCTCCCTAAAAGCTTTGACTGGCCAGTGGCATTCATCCTCAAATTAACAAGTCTTTCATACCTCATCAGAGAATAAGCTTATATTATTCTGGGATTTGAAGTTTCCAGTAGGCTTTGAGTATATTCTCCTTCAGGATGATATGGGACTGGTTACCGCACACCGAACCCAACCTTCTTTTCCGTGCTCATGACTGACTAGTAAAGCAGGGGCTAACCATGCTCACTTTTATGTCGACAAATTTAAGCATGATTCATTTTTTCAATAATATCATATACTCTTGCTTCATTTTGTGTTCATGTATGTGTGCGTGTGTGTTTACTTTATAGAAATGAATACTTCTCAGCATGAAATTGAACTACCAAAGTCTTCTTCGATATCAATCAGTTGTCATGGTTACAGACGTCCTGGATGCAATCTACTTCTATTACTCCAAGGTAACTAAAATAAGCCATATATTATAATGTTGTTAAAAAGGTAGTAGCGAAATGTACTCAACTGAAAGCATTTATTTCCCGATACGAATTTAAAACAAGCAATAGCGGTAAATAAAGCAGGATTTAATGAATTCATCAAATTTCGGTAGACCTTATCAACTGAATACTCCACATACACGGATGTATATACTTTTGAAATTACATTGGGAGATATAAGACTGATAAGTAAACAAACTACATTGAATTAGTCATGTAGAAAGACAGGTGAGAATGTTTTCCAGGTCATGTTCCAATAGATAAGGGGGGAAAAGAGTACGAGAGATCACAATTAAGATAAATTGCATTACGCTTCAATTACATCACTTAGATAAACAATTAGCCGTCAGAGAATATAAGTAGAATTTCAAACAGAGTAATACCAATGGTAATAGTTATAATAACAATAATAATAATAGCGTTGAAGTGAGTTAAGATAACACTACAGATAAAGGACGGTTTTAGATGAATCAAGAATAATAATAATAATAAGGGGTAGAATAATAAGTAAAAACGTATTACCATGATAGATTCAGAGTCACGACCATCTCCTTTTGTACACAGAGACCTGTTTTATAAACTCGAATTGCACAAGCCTCTGCAATTGCAAGCATCTTCTTGTTTCTTTGTCTGCTGACAATAGTGAATGACTTGACCGCGTCGATATCATGTCCGTAGTCCACAAGATGTTTTGTTATTGAGGATTTTGGCACTTCGCACTCAGCTGTTTTCAGCCATTTTGGCAAATGCTCGATTATGCGAGTAGACAATCGTCTTTCCGTACGACCTATGATGTATTTGCTGAGTATTCACCTGACGAGTTCTATCGAAATTTGATGAATTCATTAAATCCTGCTTTAATAACCTTTATTGCTTGTTTTAAAATGTATATATAACTTGAGAAAACAAAATCGAATTCGAAGTTGCTTGTTTGACAATGGGATTTAGGGTGAGCGTTTTGTCTTATTTACGATTCGTCATCTGGATACACTTGTTTCCCACTGAGACTATAAAACTGTACCCAGCCGCCTCTTTAAATGCTATAGCGTTACCCACTAGGTCACAAGATCTGCCCCTTGTGCTATAGGAATGATTTGAAATTATTTTATTCATGTGCATGGTTGATTGATTGATTGCCTACTGATTTATATCTCACAAAGATTAACAGCTTGATTTTAGTTTAAATTGGGCTTCTTGTGAAAGGTGTCTCTTTATGTGCGAATTAGAATATAAGGCGTCAAGCTTCTTTTGAAGTTTTGGTAGCGATAGACAGTGTTGTCTTCATTGGGTAAAGTTTCTTACGCCGTGTCAACTTTCTAGTTATTTGATCTTCAGTATGGAGTTAACGAAGACAGTTGTTGAAAAAAATTTTGCAACCTGTCAGAAATGCTTCTCATGAGGCATGAGCTCGTGCCGAATTTTTGACTTATATAGAAGCATATTGACTGACTGACTGACTGACTTAACATTTATGTTTAAGATCCGAATCTTGCTCTTTATGCTGGCTGAGTGAATTTTTCACGTTATTGAAAACCAACTAGAACATTTGTCTATTGTCATATCATAACTATACAGATAACTAATATTAAATATAAACCAATCATGGTGATTTGTCAGTGGGATGTAAAGATTGTGCATACAAATTGTGCAATTAGGCCTAATAATAGTGTAGTAATAGTAATGGTAATTCTGTTAATAATAAAGGTAACGCTTGCTTGCGACTTACCCTGAAACCCGTGTTTGCTTGCAGTTCTAGTGGGAAGTCTTGACCACTGGGATTTACCACCCGGTCGGGAGTGATGACAAATATTTGTCAGCGATGACATTGGCTAGTGCGAGTCGTGCTAAAATCACGAATTACTAGAACTTAGTTTTCATGGGCCAGTGATCTCCTTACCCGGTGGCTGAATGATTTGCGAGCTTGATTTGTAACCGGAAGGTCTTGTGTGCGAACCCTTTTGGTGAGTGTGTACTGTCGATGAGTTCCAAACTAGAAAGAAACAGCTGGTTTTGCGATGATTCTCTAATCGATATCAATCCGTGATCAAACCTGAAGCAAAGTAAATCCGTACAAAATAACTCCTGAAAATATGAAAAAAGTGGAACGACTTATTGCGTCGGTGGCACAGCGGTTAGGACTATCGCCGACCGTGCACATCGTCCGGGGTTCGATCCCCTGCCGGCACACACCTGATGTCTATGGTTGGCCTGTAAAATACGGACTACCGATATGATATGCTGAAAATTCCATACCTGTACCAAAAAATACGGTGTGGAATCAAGCTGCAATCAAAAAAATAAATAAATATATAACAGCATGATTAAACAAACAAATGTTCAGATAGACGTAGTCGATAAAGGCTTAGAAAAACGAATATTCGGAATAATAATATGACATGGTGATGAAAGTAGGAATTAAATGCGTTTTTTTCAAATGAAGATTTAGGATATCACCAGTTTGTTGTTAGGTCTTAATTGGCGCCTAATGAAGGTTAATGCCTCTACGGATCGCGTTTGAATGCATAGTTGATATGTATCCACATATATATATTTATATGTGTGTGTGTATGTTGGTCTCTTTCTGTTTGCTCTCTTAGTCTGTGACCATTTCACTTGTATGAACTTGTCTCCTTTAATAATGTATATTCTCCTTATATTATATATAATACAATATGAGTGTTTGTTGACAGTCCGTTGCTTGGTGACATATATCCATACATGGTGATTGTTGACATGTCTGTTATATTTCGCTATGTATATGTGGATCGATACTTCATTATAATTAGCCATTCATGTTAAGACTGTCTATTGATTTGTTCACACCCTTGTCATATATATTTCGCTCACACAATTTGTGGGAACTACTTTACTTTACTTACTTATCATTTTGGTGTGAGACCATTTATTTTCGTCTCTTTGTGTTTGGACAATAGAAGTATCATCGCAAACCTAGTGGTCTTCTGATTTCCGCCTTCTTGCGTCAGGACTATTAGTTTCTCGACCAGACCATAACAATAATTTAGCGACGAGTACATAACAATAGTGTAGGCTTAATACTTATGAATGTCAACCACCTCAGGTATATGTGTGTATTAGATGAATACACAAGCGTCTATAGCGCAGCGGTTAGGACGCTCGCCAACCATGCACATGGTCCGAAGTTCGATCCCCGGCCACCGACGCACTCCTTTACCTTGCTAGGCTAGAAATAATACTGGTAAAGACGAAAGGTTGGGCATAAGTCTTAGCAACCCCATCCTCTAAAAATTAAACACTGCTAGAGAAACTTCAAGCCACTAGCTTGAGGCCCTATGTTTCACTGGGGAACGTGAAGGAAAAAGATAAAGATGTATACACAGTCCACTGGGATAATTCGGTGCAATGCGATGAATCACCTTCAACACTTCCAGTTTTTTTTTTCTTCACCGAATGATCACTTTCAACCTAATGCATGAAAACAGAGTTTCAGATGGTTTTTGTGTATCCTTTAACAGATCACAATGGAAGGTGTTCGGGAGCACATGCTGAGTATACCGTCTAGTGGAGTGCACCCAACATAAAAAATTATTGAATAATGCCCCATATAATTCAGTTTCTGCTATTCTTTCTATGTTTCTTTTCTTATAGCTTCTCAAACGAACGATAGCGAATTGGATCATTTAATTGTATCCGTTGGACATGATTACGTCGATCTAAGACAGATTCTATCAGTGCATAAGAAGAGTAGTGATACTGATCGAGGTAATGTTTATAAATTGTGCATATATGTTCACTTGTTATTGTGTTTTTGTGTTGATAATTCCATCATTCTGTCAATTTACTGACTGTCAGTGTAAGCGCAATATCGCTTGAAATTAAGTCACGCGTAGATAAAGGCTATCCCGGTCCAGAACAAACAAGAAGCCGGTCACTGTTTCTACGGTACTATTAATAAACAAATCAATAATTATATATACAACAAACCTTAACGGTTTCAAGAGTACAAAGCACAACGCTTAACAGAAAGCAAGGTACCGCTATCAGAGCGGAATAACGTTAAAGTCAAAATTGCGAACTAGCCGGAACCAGACACGACCGTTCAGGTAAGCAGTCAGTAGAAGAATGAACCCAAGTAAGGCATGGCATAAAACAGAGAGCGTTTAAGAGAGATAGACCGAGCATAGGCACAAAGATAGAATTTAATTGGCTACTTAACCAGGTAGGAAAATACAGATGAAAATCAATAAATAAGATAAACTCGACAGAATAGTACAAAGTTAGACATGGGTCAGCAAAAATAACAGTTCACAAAATACTCTGATTGGGCCATGAGTTCAACTGTCTGACTAAACGGATCGAGGTAAAAACACATACACACAGTTCATTAAACAAGCAGGGATAGACACGTTAGGCATGGATAATTGGGTTGCAACAACTCTAGGCTGATCCGGGACAGGTTGACTTGATTCAAGGATGGGGATAGAATTGATCTTACACCGGCCCCCAAAATCCGACTAGGATTTTATGAATCATGTTATACAGAATAACCCTCGTGCCCGGCTCTCTTACAAATGACTTCCCTCTAGTAGGCATATCTTACGTATATCGCGCTTCACCTCGCCGTTTCTCTTTCTTATTGTAACCGTTCTGACAAGTTCGTCCGCGGATTGCTCGCATTCCGCAATAACTCCTCGCGGCCAACGCCTAGCCAACCATCTTGCCACCACAGAAATCGTAATGCTCCTCGATCGTCTACTGGCACCTTCACTTGCATAAACATATCAGCTATGTCCGCGACCACACCAATAGGCTTTTCTCGAAAGCGCAACAGAGCACCAACAAGCTCGGCAATCGTATCAGGTCCTTGATATAGCTTATCGTTCAAAGAATAACCTCTAAAGGTTCCGGCGCAATCTATAACTAATCTCAGTTTATCTGGCTTTTTCTGCTTCATAACGGGATGATGTGGAAGATAACACCTCGAACGATAGTTCGCTGCTAGCTGCTCTGTTGGTACCGGAAGGGCATAACCATTTTTTGACATCGTATTTATCCCATCCACATATCGTGCTAAAAGGTTCTTGTCACACGATAACCTCTGTTTCAGATTGAGTAACGGCTTTATGACGACTACATAATTATTGTCTGTTACCTTTGTTGGATCTTCCCATGGCAAGGGAATAATGTAATGCGCCTTTTCTAAGACGGTGCTTTGAGTAACAAACTCGATTGCCTTACGATCTTCAATAGAAAATGAGTCTTCGTTTTCTTCAGTATCCTTAAGCTCAGCTTGATGTAGACTTCTGATGTCGTCTTTGATACTGTCTTCGCTGATTCGAGCGTAATTGACAGTGCCTCTTATCGTATTTCCATGAGTTTTCCGTTCGTCGTCCTCGGCTAACTTCACATGCAGCTCGGCCATTTCGACATCATGTCTAGCCTTTAGCAACTTTTTCTCTAACTCTAACTCCTCTCGAAGCTGTTTCTCTTTTAGCTGAGCCCTTAGTAGCAACGACTTAGCACTAGTTACTCGCGATAATAATAATTTCGAACTACTGACATGAGAGCCGGGGCACGAAAGATTACCAACATGATCATTTATACGAACGGGGACTTGCTGACTCTCCGACTGCTGCTCCGAAATTTGATTCCCTGATCTGGTTTGCATTGTTCCAAAGACAATGTATTGTCAACAACGTTGCGTGCTGCCAATTCACCACAGTTTCTTCTCGATGAACGCTCAGTACTGACCAGTTCAGTACGGGATTTTCCTATTAGACGTTGAGTACTGACCAACTCAGTACGGTCTCGATCCGTTTAGCGTTAAGTACTGACCAATTCAGTACGGGATTTTCTTCAATGACAATTCCTCTTTCGTTAAGTACTCCGTTGAGTACTGACCAGTTCAGTACGGGATTTTCTTCAATGACAATTCCTCTTTCGTTAAGTACTGATCAGTTCAGTACGGTCTCCTCTGTAACGTTAAGTACTGACCAGTTCAGTACGTTCTTTTCTGTTTGATGTGAAGTACTGACCAATTCAGTAAAGTCTCGATCCGTTTAGCGTCAAGTACTACGTTACGTACTCCGTTAAGTACTGTAAGCGCAATATCGCTTGAAATTAAGTCACGCGTAGATAAAGGCTATCCCGGTCCAGAACAAACAAGAAGCCGGTCACTGTTTCTACGGTACTATTAATAAACAAATCAATAATTATATATACAACAAACCTTAACGGTTTCAAGAGTACAAAGCACAACGCTTAACAGAAAGCAAGGTACCGCTATCAGAGCGGAATAACGTTAAAGTCAAAATTGCGAACTAGCCGGAACCAGACACGACCGTTCAGGTAAGCAGTCAGTAGAAGAATGAACCCAAGTAAGGCATGGCATAAAACAGAGAGCGTTTAAGAGAGATAGACCGAGCATAGGCACAAAGATAGAATTTAATTGGCTACTTAACCAGGTAGGAAAATACAGATGAAAATCAATAAATAAGATAAACTCGACAGAATAGTACAAAGTTAGACATGGGTCAGCAAAAATAACAGTTCACAAAATACTCTGATTGGGCCATGAGTTCAACTGTCTGACTAAACGGATCGAGGTAAAAACACATACACACAGTTCATTAAACAAGCAGGGATAGACACGTTAGGCATGGATAATTGGGTTGCAACAACTCTAGGCTGATCCGGGACAGGTTGACTTGATTCAAGGATGGGGATAGAATTGATCTTACAGTCAGTGTGTGTGTGTGTATGGCAGGTAAGGAGGTGATGAATCCCTAGCTAGATATCCTTGAGATTCTTTGTCTCAATAGTTGGAGACTATTGGTTAAATTACGATTAGATTTTAGAAAGTTTCATTTCCATTTTACCACCCGTTTTTCTCTGTCGTATATTATTAAGTACTTTTTTCGAAGTTTTTCGCCTTGAATCGATTCACTGCTGTCTGAAATTGTGTGTTGATTCGCCATTCAGTCAACTATTCCTTCAACTAGGCTGATGCCTTTCACGAGGTCAGTCTGTCTTTCAAAGATCGGGTTTATAATGCTTCAGTCCTCACAGTCTTGCTATATGTCTGTGAAACTTTTCCTCTCCAAGCTGAAAATGTACGCTGACTCCTCATATTCAACCATCACTATCTCTTTAGAATTTCTTTCTTCTGTTGATATCACTGTAATGTGCGCTAGTGTGCGTTTTGGGCACGATAAAGATTACGCCAGCTTCGGTAGCTTGAATTTGTGCTATAGGTGTCATGGGCCATTGGTTCGGGTCCCGGTGTCTTAATGGTCTACGAGCTAGTTCGCCTTGTAACCAGAAATTCTTGGTTTTGATCCCTGGCGGTGGGTGCGTACTATTGAAGAGTCGCAAACTCGAACGAAACAGCTGTCCAGTACTCCAGTGCTAGTTTTCCAATGGTTCTCTAACTGATGTCAGCTTATGATGATGTCCCTACGAAACCAATACTTGAAAACATGATTATATTGCCTATTACTCATCCAGTTTATTTATTTAGTTATTTATTTTTATTATCGTTGCTTCTTTCCTTTTTTCAGCTTCCAATAGGACTCATTATATTAATCGATCACGACAAATGGGTTCCGGTGCTCATGCTATTGTCTGGAGACTTACAGAAGGGTGTAGTTAATTTCAATAGTGTGTGAAGTGCTAAACTGCATATGTGCATGCATACATGCCTAATATGAATTATCGCCATCATCATTATCATCATTAATCACATCGTATACTAACTACTTTAAATGACTCATAAAGTAGTAGTAGTAGTAGTAGTAGCTTAATTTGATTTTTTTTCTTTTTGTTGTTCATTTCACCTTCTTGCTAACATACGTCTGTGTGTGTGTGTGTATGTGACAGTCATTCTAGAGATTTTCTGCACTGATTTCAACGTCCTCAACGTCTGTCTTCTACTAACTTTATTTAATGACACATAGCTATACATATACTTATATATATGTACTTGAAAAGTGTTCAAAGACTCTAGATTCCTTTCATTGGCTGGCTGTATCCCAGGTATGTCAGTAGGAGGAGGTAGTAATGACTACCTGGGGCGGGTGGTTGCTAGGAAGAAGACGAACAAGGGTACCTTTCAATCGATCATGTAACCAAATGCAAAATTATGAATCATGAATAACTTACTTGAGAGTGTTGTGTATGTGTATGTATGCGTGTGTGTGTATTTTTTGAGCGTTCCTTTCTGGCCCCCCACCCCGACCCACGACACCATTCACCTCTCTTTCTATTCATTATTGTGCAATATACAGAAATCAATAAATATGCTTTGTTTTCATGCCTTTATGCTATCCTGTTACTTGGCATTTATTTACTTATTTATTTATTTATTGATCATGCTATTTTGTTTGTTTTTGATCTTGATTTGTGATCTTTTTTCAACAGCCACTGTGATTTGTGGTTTTTTGAGTTTTTTTTCTACCTTTTTAAACCGTTTCATTCGGCTTGTGCATTTCATTCTATTGTTGGTGTATGTATGTATGTGTGTGTGTGTGTGTGTGTGCGGAAAGGCATCGCCTCAAATTTGATCTACATTTCACTATCATACATACGGTATATGATAACTGTACTCTATACATTAAACACTACACACCGCACGACATCAGATTACTTTAAATATGTGTTTTTTTCCTTTTTCTGTTCTTCTTTCAGTTTGCCTGTCGTCTCTGTTGTTGTTGTCGTCATTGTCGTCTATTCTGCTTATAATCGCATCATTCAGTTCAACCTGTACCTGTCATTTACGCGTCAATACAACTGTGATCTATATATATACATATAATATATACAAAGTGGTATCAGTTTATTTCACATATATATATTTATTTGATTGAGTCATCAAGAAGACAAATTTCGCCGCGATATGATATCGTTTGATGACTGACCGAAGTCTTTGAGCTGTCAACTGCATAATCTGGTCGCCCTTGAATGGTAGGTTAATAAAGATAGATGGCTTTCTTTGGTACAGAAGCTGTCTTTTCAAGAAGTGATCTACGCTTTATGTGACAAGTGATAAAGTTTTCTGGATAACCATTAGCTAATAAAACTGAATGTATGTGTCGAAGCTCATCCATCAGTGTGTCACTCGTGCATATTTTTCGGGCCCTTGAGAACAAACATTTCACACACTAGGGAACGTTTATACTGGATAGGAACAAAACTGGTGAAATGAAGATATTGTCCACTGCATGTCTATTTACGAAAAATAGATCGCTGAATCGTCCCATCATCTCTCCTAGTCATTGTAATATCCAGGGAACCGAGTTTGTTATTTGATTCTAGGTCGGAAGTCACTCGGATATTTGGATGAATATGATTAAATAGGGTAATAAAGTTTTCAATAGATATACTATTATTACCAATAATTAGAGTATCATCTACATAACGTTTATACAGAATAAATTCTCCAAGCATATCTTGCATTTGTCTCTCCGATTTCGAAATGAATATATCTGCTAACAGCGACCCAAGAGGGCTCCCCATCGCAGCACCATCGATTTTTCTGTATGTCTTTTCTTGGAAGGCGAATCTAATATTTTCTGTACACATTAAGATGATGTCTCTGATTTAAGTTACAGGAATAGATAAGTTTATCTCATTGCTTGTGATGTAATCGCAAATGAAATCAACCGTTTCATTAAGGGGAACATTGATGAATAAAGATTCTATGTCAATTGAACATATAACCTTTTCCTTAGAGTTCAAGGTGTCTAGCATATCTGTCAGATCAAATGAACTTTTTTGAAGAATGATTTGATAATGAGTCTCTTACAGGCGTAAGGACCTCTGTAATCCATTTGGCGATTTTATGGTATGGAGAATTCGACATGTCTAAGATAGGTCCCAGTGGGTTCCCAGTTTTGTGGATCTTCGGAAGGCCATAAAGCCGGGGAGTATGTGACCCAAATGCTTTAAGTTGTTTATAAAGTTTTTCATTTATAAAACCATGCATCAGTAATATATATATATATGCACACGCCGCATTTTATTCTTTTGCATTCTAAGTGGAGTAGAGGGCTTAAAGTTTAGGGAGCTATGAGTGATGTTTTTCCTATACGTAGTAGGATTGCTAGCCGCAAGGTCAATATTCTCTCTTCACTTGTCCTACCACTAGTTAGTAGACTAAGTGAAGTTAATGACTATGTGTCAGCTAAGAATTGAAATTTAAAGCAATTAGGTTCCCTTTATGAATCCCGACAAAAACATTCAGAAGTAAAAGGCATTCTGAACGAAGAATATTCTTTTCAATAATTTCTCCTCTTCAGGTTCTTACAATTATTAAAATTTAATACTTATTGTCGTTACAATAAAGGCCAGTTATGTGGTGGATACATATTTTAACGTGGAATAACAGATTAGTTGCTATGGGGTGTCAAAATAAATAGTCGTATTTGTGTGACAAGGACTGGATTATGCGTCAGACAGTGAGTGGGAAACGAGAAGACAAGGAAATTCTGAACCGACGTGAAGAACCTAGAAGACCTGGATTTTGCGCGTGGATGATTTATGTTTGATGTCACTGTCACAAAATCGAAGACTTACAAGCGAAAACCAACAAACTGATCGAAGAAGCAGCCGGCGAAGACAGGACTCCAAGTGAACATAGACAAGACGGATATGATGAAAATAACCAACAACAACAACATCAGCAACATCCAGTGTCAATCACCATCAACAGGAGGGATTTGAAAGAGTTCACTTCACTCACTTATCTAGGGAGCATTGTCTCAACTTCAGGTAGTCGGAACGGACGACGATGTCAAATCGAGTGAGAATCGGGAAGGCGAGCGAGAAACACATTCATCAACCCGAAATCAATCTGGAAATCTTCGTCACTCGGCGTCAAAAACAAAATTTAGTCGGATTTTCAATACAAATGACGTCAAATCAGTTCTTCTATACGGATAAGAAATTTGGCCAGCGGGTCACAAAGAATATTTCCGACAGCCTGTTGCAGACCTTTATCAACCAACAACTGTTTTCGCTCTATAGTGAAGATCAGATGGCCGGGTCGGAAAGAATCACCAACAAGAAACTATGGGAACAAACAAAACAAGTACAACTTGCCCAACAAATATGCAGGAAAAAGTGGAGATCGATTGGACACTCGTTGAGGAGACCGCCGGGTGATATCGCGCGTCAAGCCCTCGAGTGGAACCCGAAAGGGAAGCGGCGAGTGGGACGTCCAAGGGTGACATGGAGGAGATCGTGTGAAGAGGAGTTGAAGGAGTATGGACTAACATGGATGCAGGTGAAAAGTACAGCAGAAGCAAGTGGAGACGTGCAGTTGAAGCCCTATGTTCCACTACGAACCCAAGGGAGCAATAATAAAATAAAAATAATTTGTGTGACAAACGTGCTAGTAGGCTGAAATCGATTACAAAATATTTCGGTGAAATGGGAGACAATGGTGGTGATTAATCAATCATAATACATTTGTAGAGTTTAGGGTAGGAAAATGGACAAATCAGTTCAAGGATATACTGGCCCTTTATGCAAACATTCCCTCAATACTATCGAATTTTTCATTTATACTATCCGGACTTATTATTAGTGATATTATATCTTTTCTCAATATATGCCTCCACCTGTTTCATTTCACATATTCGTTATTTCATTATGAACCTGTCATTGCAGTCTTATTATCTCCTGTTTAACTCAGACCACTTTGTACCAGCCACTCCACTCACCTGACACCTTTTATAACCTTGAACTGATTTGTCAATTTTCCTACCCCACACTACAAATCTATTATGGCGACTAAACACCACCATTGTCTCCCATTTCACCGAAATATTTTGTAATTTTTAGAAGCCTGTCTGGTATTCCACTGAATCATCAATCAATAGACACATCGAGATAGACAAAATTTATCAGCCAATAAGAAAGAAACCTCACACACAAATGGTTAAAGTTCAGGTCAAAGAAACAATCAGTTCCAATACAAGTAGCCGCCTAGAAGGTGTGAAAACACACAAAAACAACCAATCACGTCCAAGGTCACCCATCAGGAGAGATGATTAATGAACTCGTGGAGAAATCTAAAGGCTCACTTCATTAAATTGAAGTATCCGCTGAACATGTCGCCTAGTAGGGTGATGAAAGCTTCGCAAGTTAACTATCCAGCTAGTTCAGAGAACACAACCACCTCAAAATTCGCGATAATGTCATGAGAACTGGCAAATAACATTCCTCTTTCGTGCCCCAGTGGTTCCGACTGTTCACCACTTCTCACTAGAACTCAAACTGACTTATTGTTCCCATCTGATTAATAACTTCTGTGTGACGTAATATTTGTCTGAAATTTTGCAGTAATCTATGTTGTCTTCCTTCAACTCTCATTTCACTCATCCTCGCTTCATCGTAGTCGGAAACCACTTTGTGGCGTAAAAACTTGAGCTCTTCGATGCATAAACAGATTACATTAAGATTAGTATTACTATTATATTTATTATTAATATTGGTACTATTATGATCATAAATATGAACAAGCAATAAATAAAGGATTGATGTGTTGACCCATACACAACTCAAGCACACACACACGCATGCAGACACACATATAAACACTCAAAAATACATACTGCCCTCAAAAACAGACATATCTCATAAATCGATCGCATGAAAAAATATTTCTGTGAAAAAATAAGTGTTTACTAATTAGACAAATGTATAGTATTGTTATAATATTAGATTGAGATTTTTGTTTATTTTTGGCGCAAAATTCTTCATTAAAACAACTCATTGATAGGTAGATAGATAAATAGATAGATAGATAAATAAATAATATTGAATTGTTGAACTATTGTGGCGGACGTTCAATGGTCACTTTACTTGGACTGGTTGGTTGAACAAAATCAAAATTAAATATATCACCTTTTTGTCCTGCCTTATTTGTAGGGCTGAAACATTAAAAAAGAGTATATATGTATATATATACATGAAGAGATAGTGGTATATTTATTCTGTGATATATCATATGTTTGGATATCTACGGCAACCTAATCGCTACTATAAGGGGCTGATTTACTCACCAGCAATTTGCACGAACTAGATTTGACTGATTATACAAAAGGATATTTTGTAATTCCCAATGAATGAAAAACGAAAGGATACCGTTGTATTTATTGAGGTTTAGCTCTTTAATGGTGCTACAAATAGCTTTAACAAAGTAGTAGGGAGCGAACCAATCAGGAACCGATTGTGAAACAAATAGGCAGAAAGATTACTCTAAAATTTTATGCAAAGTGTTTGCGGAAATTATCACAATTATTAACCTTTCGAACACTGAATCCAAAAAATACAATCTTATTGACAGATAATACACATAACTCACTGTTTGGATTTGTGGAATTTTTAAACATAAACACATCTATAATTGTATATATTGTTGGATTTATATGTTCAAGTTGCTCCAAGTCAGTGAGTTTATGGTTAAGATATCATTTTAGTTAACAATACTGAACTATATTGCATGTTGTCTTATTGTATAGTTGTCGTCGCTTTTTGCCCTTTTTTCTGTGAACTGTTTCCTTTGTTGATGTTGTTCTCATTGTTTGTCCGTTATTTTCTGATTTTGAGGGGAGCAACCCAAAAAGTTGCTTCTCTCTAAACTTTTACTTAATGTAATCATTCTTTTCTCAGGCGTGAGGCTAGCAACCCCACCCTGTAAACAAAAATTGCTACAGAAACTTCAGTATGTTGAACCTCCTTGCACCAAAAGAAAAAGTCTGTGTAGGAACATGGAACGTCCGAACTATGTACGAGACTGGAAAGCTGCCCAGATCGCCAACGAGATGAAAAGATACGGAATACAAGTGCTGGGAATATGTGAGAGCAGATGGAATGGGAGTGGACTCACCAAATTGTCAACAGGTGAGTCAGTGATCTACTCCGGTCACCCAGAAGATAACCACACGCACACCGAGGGCGTGGCTATCATGATGTCACCAACGGCAACGAAAGCCCTGATACAATGGGAGGCGATTTCGTCCAGGATAATGACCGCCAGGTTCAACTCCAAAGGAAGGAAAGTGTCAATCATACAATGTTATGCACCCACAAACAACGCAGACCTCGAGAAGAAAGAAGAATTCTACAGGCAACTACAGGCAACAATGGACAATACTCCAGCTGGCGACATGAAAATACTAATGGGAGACATGAACGCCAAACTGGGACCAGACAATACGGGAAGGGAACTCATCATGGGTAGAGAAGCTCTAGGAGAAATGAATGAAAACGGAGAACTCTTCGCCGACTTCTGCGCCTTCAACGAACTGGTGATTGGTGGCAGTGTATACAAGCACAAAGATATCCACAAGGCTACATGGGTGTCACCAGACGGGCAAACCAAAAACCAAATCGACTTCATCTCAATCTCAAGGAAGTGGAGGCGCAGCCTACTGGACACAAAAGCAAGAAGAGGAGCAGACGTTGGCTCAGACCACTATCTCGTACAAGGGACAATCCAAATCAAATTAAAAGCTTTCAGAGAATCAGGAGCTGCAGATAGACCACAAGCCAAGTTCAACACTCAAAAGCTGAAGGACCAGGCTACAAAGGACATCTTCATTGCAAGCATAAAGGACAAAGCCGAGACACAAATCAACACTAGCGAAGAGGTCGGCGTTGAAAAGCACTGGAACAACTTGAAAACGGTGTGGAGCCAAACCTGCATAGAAATTCTAGGCAGAAAAAAGAGACAGGACAAACAGTGGCTCACTACGGACACTTGGAAACTAATAGAAGAGAGAAGGACAGTGAAGCAAAAGATTATCCAGTGCACGGACGAGCAACAAAAACAGGAGCTGAATGCAAGCTACAATACACTGAACAAAAGAGTGAAGAAAAGTGCCAGGGAAGACAAAAGAAAATATTATGAAACCATGGCAAACGAAGCAGAACAAGCTGCAGGCAAAGGAGACCTCGCCACACTCTACCAAACAACTAGGAACCTTTCGGGCAAACGTTCGACACAGATTAAGCCAATAAAGGACGACAATGGAAAGTCAATCACCAAAGAGGTGGAACAGAGAAAGCACTGGGTTGAACACTTCAAAAGACTTCTAAATCGTCCGCCACCTACAACACGTCCAGCAATACCAACAACGGAAGCAGAACTACCAGTGAACACTGACCCCCCGACGAAATCAGAAGTCCTGAATGCAATCAAGATGCTTAAAACTGGGAAAACACCGGGACCAGATGGAATCCCAGCAGAGGCTTTGAAAATAGACCCAGAGACAACAGCGGACTTGATGACACCACTACTGGAGAAGGTGTGGAAAGAGGGCAAAGTACCCGAGGATTGGAAGAACAGTTACTTATTCAAACTTCCAAAGAAAGGAGACTTAAGTCAATGTAAAAACTGGCGTGGAATTATGCTTCTGTCCATTCCAAGCAAGATACTAAGTCGCATCATCCTGGAGAGAATCAAACAAGCCCTAGATGAAAAACTTCGTCCGGAACAGGCTGGATTCAGGAGAAACAAATCATGTATTGATCAAATCGCCACTCTACGGATCATCATTGAACAAAGCTTGGAATGGCAGTCACCTCTCTATCTCAACTTCATCGACTTTGAAAAGGCCTTCGACAGCGTCGATCGAGAGGTCATTTGGAAACTACTTCGCTACTACGGGGTCCCATCGACAATTATACACCTCATCCAACAGTTATACGACAATGCTGCATGCCAAGTAATCCACAACGGGAAACTTACGGAAGCCTTCGAAGTGAGGACGGGAGTGAGGCAAGGCTGTCTACTATCACCAATGATCTTCCTGATTGCAATTGATTGGATAATGCGACAGACAACGGCAACCAACGAGGGAACAGGCATAAAATGGACTGACACAAAAGACTTGGAGGATCTGGATTTCGCCGATGATATATGTCTGATTTCCCATAAACTGGAAGATATGCAAATGAAAAGTAACAAGTTGGCAGAAGAAGCATCAAAGATAGGACTTCACGTGAACATAGATAAAACAGAGATGATGAAGATTCCTTGCCAACATCAACAGCAACAACAGACCACAATAAGCATAAATGGGAAGAACCTGAAAGAAACAACCTCCTTCACCTACCTGGGAAGCATCGTCTCAACTACAGGCGGAACTGACGAGGACATCAAAGCCAGAATCGGAAAAGCAAGACAAGCTTTCATTACTCTCAAATCTGTGTGGAGGTCAACAGCAATCAGCATCAAAAATAAGATCCGGATTTTCAACTCCAATGTGAAGTCAGTGCTACTATACGGATCAGAGACTTGGCGAGTCATAAAGAGCATCTCAAACAAACTTCAAACCTTCATTAACAACTGTCTCCGCTCAATACTCAAGATCAGATGGCCAGAAAAGATCAGCAACAGGGATCTCTGGGAGCGAACCAATCAGGAACCGATTGTGAAACAAATAGGCAGAAAGAAATGGAGATGGATTGGCCATACGCTGAGGAAACCATCAAGTGACATCACTAGACAAGCCCTCGAGTGGAACCCGAAAGGGAGGCGGCGAGTTGGTCGTCCAAGGGTGACTTGGAGGAGGTCATGTGAAGAGGAGATGAAAGCATGTGGGCAGACCTGGAGCAGGGTGAAAAAGTTGTCAGAAAACCGAAGTCAATGGAGGTGCGCAGCTGAAGCCCTATGTTCCTCTAGGAACTAAAGGATACAATAATAATAACAATAATAATAATAATAATATAAAACCCGAATTTTAAAAATGTCAGCTTCTGTATAACACATTCATCACTATGAGAAAAATTTCGCCCTTATAAGCATAAAACGAGAAATATAGAGTTCATTCAAGAAGAAAATATATAACGCATCAGGCAAAATCCAGTTAAAATTCGAAGAAAATTCAGGCGAAGGTGAATTAATAGGGATATTGACGAAAACCAACCAGACCTACGCGGAGAG